CACGATATACAAGTAATTTGATTATTTATTTATTTTGAATAAAAAAGTGGCCAAGATAACAATACTAGTGGCTCTGCATACAAAACACAACATAATTGAGGTTATTTCACATTTACAAAACTGCCATTATGTACAGCACTGGATATTCACAGCAACTTTAATAGACTCTAAGTACCAGAAACCTAAGAGCAATTGCGGGGTATCCAAAATGGGAAAAAGCTAAAAACCCAATGATTTCATTAACTGGAAAATTGGCCAACCAGCTAACTGGTAGAGAAAGAGAATTTGCTACCCTTTTCTTTAGTAATAACTAAAATAAGATTGCCCCACAGGACTGCATTTGACAAACACCCTCCATAATTTCCACTTCATTTTCTCTATAATCTTTCCCACTTCAAACTTTTCCCAGAAACCTCTGCCCTACTATCAGATAAAAGCTCAGGACACCAGTGTATCTTCAGGGAAAGAAGATAACCAGTGCAAAGGATACAGCATGGTCTGATTCAGCCCAGGAGACCCAGTTCAAACCCAAGAAAGAATTCTGCCCTCTTCCGGTCATCAGTTCTTCGCAGTTTTGAACACACTGGAAAAAGTGAACCATGCTTCGTCTTACAGGTGGCAGGAAGTTACTCACTCATTCTCTGTATCACCAGCACCTACTCTGTGCAAGGCACTTGACACTTGGTGCTGCAGGAACTACCAAGATGAGACAGACAGTCCCTGCCCTTGAGGAGCTTACAATCTAATAATGAACACTATGTACATACGTATAATGCAGAGAAGCAGCCAATTCTTCTGGATGGGGGTATTCCAAGCAAAATGTGCTATTGTTCTTAAAATTTTTTATTTACACACTAAAAGTTTAAAACACACCACCTAATCAGATGGTAAGCATTAAAAAAACATCTCCTTTCTATAACCTTAAGTTTTTAGATGCCTGTTGTTTTTATTTCAAAAAATGTCATATGTAAACAAACACGTAATTTGAAGCCAAGCACAAAGATAGCGCAGGCATTGGATAAACAAAATATATACTACTCTACACAACACAGACTTATTTTTCTATACAGTCTTATTTCTGTATACACAAGTTTGACGTCCACTTTCTTTTCATACACTGAAGTACAAATCTGAGTCAGTCTTGAAAAAGACATAATTCATTTTTGCATTAATACCAAAAACAAAACCAAACACCCTAGACCTCACCAGTCTGTTAGCCAAGAGTCAAACTGATAACACATGAAATGCTTCAAAGCCACCACCTCTTACACCATCCAATGAGACCATTTCACAGGATCTTTCTATGAAACTAACAGGACTTCATAATGGTGAGGTAAGCAAGTTTTTACGTTAGAAATAACTATAAGATTTAGAGTTCTGAAACTCAAGTCCACCAACCCATTTACAATATTTCACCTAGACAGCCTGCACCTTTGCTTTATCACATCAGTATGAAAGTATCATCATTCCCCCTTTGCAACTCCTCCCAAGCCTGGGATGAATGAATGAATGAATGAATGAATGAACACCATGTTGGTTAACCATATAATACTGTGGTAAATAAACGCACTGTCTAGGACCTCATATCGTATATTAAGTCTTCCCCCCCCCCGGAGTATAGTTATAAGTTAAAATGCAAGATAAAAGCTGAATCACCTAATCTGATTAAGAGGTTGGGGGCATACATATGTATATAACAAAAAGATTAACTTCTTTACAGGACTTCTTTATATAAAGTCTCTCCCCTGTTAAATTTACTGATTTCTACAGCAAGTTTTCAGAAACAGCCATCTTAAAACAAACCATACATGCAGATAGGAGGCTGCACCCTATTTACCAGACTCAGGCCAGCCAGCCAGTCCTGATACTGATGTGTATCTGTGCCAGGGAAACAAGTCTGCATCTTCTGAAAAACCCTGCTGTACACCAGGATAGCGATGCTGTGGTGACAGTGATCATTAGAAGCAACTCTGCAAAGCTGACTTAATTCAGTATAAGGACAGTCAAATCTCAAGCGCTCTAAAGTCAGCTTGAACTGCAGATACCAGGTTATCACATGAAGATCCTAGCTCCAAAAACTTCTTTTAGCATCAAAAAAGAGCAGTTCAAAGCTTAATACCTATGAGACTTGAGACATGGTCTAAAACTCTGCTGGAAACCGCCAGCTGACACTTCCACTAACAGCTAAAGTGCAACCACTTCTCTTCAGTTAGATCTGCTATGGAGGCATTGTTACAATCCGACGGTGGTGAGGGGAGAGGCTAGATGCCCGAGCCGCTCTGCTGTCAACAGAGCTGCTGAGCCCCACCCACACAGGTAGCAGCGTGAGAGCACAGGGATGTGTTTGTTCACACTCAATCATGGAAGCCTGCAGACCCCAACAGTCCATGCAGGGCTAGCTGTAGAGATGCTTTTATGTGTCCAGCTACTTGCTGTTTGTGCTGTCCCATCTCTAAAAAGAAAAAAGGGCAGAACCTATCTTTCCCCTAAAAAAATTTAGGCCTGCTGACTTTGAATATAGCCAGAATTTTTTTTTGCTTGTCAGGAATAACTGGCTTGGGGAGCAGAGCGGGTGGTGGCAGGGAGCTGAAATCCAGCCCACTCTGCCCAAAGTCCAGCCTGAAGGTGTGGGAAATTTCCAACAGGGAAATTATAATTCAGAGTTTTGAAGAAAACCAGATACAGTTTATCAAGTTGTTAACAACTAACACTACTACTCTTAGAAAGAAAAACCACTGTTTAATAGTTTCTTCTAGGAAGGGAGACCTGCTATGTGATTTAGTTTTTAGAAATTTTATCACAAACCTATTTTTCTTTCAAATCTGGTACCTCAGAAGGTGTCCTAAAGCTGAAAGAACTAAAGGGACGGAAATGGAGAGGACCTCTCCTGGAAGGACAAGCGAGGGAGAGGGAGGTCAGGAGCAGAGAGGATGGATGGGCCCGTGGAAATTGTACAGTGACAGTAATTCCTGCTTTCATTCCAGGAGCCGCGGCAATTCACCAAACCCCGACACAGCTCAGTGCTGCCACGAGAGCAGGTGCTCTGAAAAAGCAGCTCTGTGTTCCTCCAGACAAGACCAATGAGCCTTGATTTCTTCTGCATATTATCTGACACCATTACAGTTACAACAGAATATATTTTAATATTCAATTATTACCCTTTGACATTCTTTTAACCTAACTGGTGAAGGCTGCTAATAGGTCTAGCCCACACGCCCCAACATTAACATTCTCAAAAACTTCCTAGAGGGAGAAGCAGAAAAATGTCACTCTCGACCATGAGCTTCGCCAGTGGTTCTAACTCCTGACATTGAAAACAAATTGGTAGTTTGGGCAGATACAACAGTAGGCAGAGATGGCCTGAAGTCTGGGTAGTGGACATAGGATTTCAGAATGAATATCAAGGCTAACAAACTATCAATTTCTTATCTAGAATAACAGGAACAAATTAACCCTCGACAGAGAAAGTGTGACACAGGTGTGGATATCAGACTCCCAAAATGCAACACTGTCATGGCTTAGAAGGTCTAATTGCACAGGACCTTTGCTCCTGCACCTTCATGCAAAGCAGTGGCATCATGGCCGTCTCATCCACGCCGTGGAGCGGTGACAGCTGAAATTAACTTGAAATCCACTACACAGATCAGGTTGAGTTCTAGGAAGGCACAGAGGGCACATGCTAAATGTAAACCAGGAGACAATTTCCCGGCGTCCCTCACGCTCTTCCAGAGCTTCGCTACTCACAACTCTGGCACCAAGTATGCTGACCGACCCTTAGGACATTCAGAAGTGCACTGTGTGATGCTGCCATTAACTGAAAATCTCCTCTAGTTCTCACAGGTCAATGGATTAACCTCCACAGAAGGGAGGGGTGGGGAGAGAGGGCGGAGGGCTCCCAACTCGGTGTGCAGAAATTTGAGGCAGGTGCTGGCTGGATTTCAGCCTTAAGAATGCCATTGGGCAGAGCCCCCCCAGAGAGAAGCTACGTTCTAGTAAAAGAGTTGCCATGTTTACTGCTACCCAGACATACAAAATAACTCAGGTGACCCTTTTTAGTTTATTCCTAAGAGTCAAATTTTCCCCCCAAATGCATAACTGCTTTAAATAAAAACAACGTAAGTTTTAAATGGCAACAGCACAAAATTCCCCAGTAAGAACAAATCAACTACTAACTCTGATTAGGAAAAAAAAAAAAAAGTGAAACTCGGCATGTGCTCTGAGTACAAGTGAAAACTCAGCATGTGCTCTGAGTATAGAAACTGTAAGAATTCCCTGACAGGATCTCAATTTTTACTGTCATATTTACTGTAAAGTGAAACAGCTCTAGGCACAAACGACCGCAACTATACAGCTTTCTGAGCTGTGTTCTTCCTGATTTTAATGTTGCCTGGTTCTCTTCCTTGACAATCATCTGAACATGCTGGACCCTAAAGTCTGGATAAACACTCCTCTAGAAATTACCACCAAAATGAGAAAGATAAGCAGATGATCCAGCAGAACTAAACAGCAGCAGAAATACAGAATTAAACACAGGAGACAAAAACAAAAATTTGAAAGGGAAACAAAAGACATTTCAAAGCAGACTGTCTGGAAGTGCCTCTTAAGGGCTCTTGTCTCCAATAACTACGGACAGAGCAGGGAAGACACTAGGGGGAGAGAGCCTACAGGCGGGAGCGGTGTTGCTGTTACATGCTCTCCAAACAGCGAGTGTTTCTCAGTGAGGACAAAATGTCTTCCACTAAGGATACAAAAATAAAAGCAAGTGTTAGAATAAAGGTTTAATATCACTTAAATTTCACATTTTGTATTTCCCATCCAACTTTCCAGAAATATGCACCATTTCAAGGTGAGTGCATTACAGTCCTGTTAATTAGCACCAATCCCTAGGATACTTATTTTAAAAATCCAAGAACACTGTAGTTCTAGAATGTCTATTGTTAATTGTAGGTTTTAAGACCAATTAATGTCTAACATCTCTTCTTAACAGTCCACAGGAAAATACCTGTATTATAAATATTGAGGACCTTTGCAGAGGGAAGGAATTCCCAGCCTCTGGTTGACTGAGCTACACACACGATAGCACCAGAGCTCAAGGGTCCACACTTCTGAGCTGCCTGCCTCTTTCTGGACGTCTCTAGACAGACTCGGGATATAACTGATACGTCTGGAAATATCAACATTAAAAATATTAAATGTTTTAATACTAAAAGGAGAAAATATTATTTTTCCTCTGTGTACAAATATCTCACCAAGTTGTCACAGGTAAGTCTGAAGAGGGCTGTGACGCAGGTGAACAGGAATACTTGACATCCTTATACCTGTGAAGGAGTCAGAGCAGGAAACTGATGACATGGGAGAGATCATTAAAAATAAGTCACAATTATTAACTTACAAGAGTCACCCGATCTTTTGACACATTAAAACCAACTTTAGTCTTGGCTTCAACCTCTTTAAAATATATAGTTTTAAGAAAATGTTTTCAATATGCATGAAAAACAACTGGCAGGATGCAGATCTGCAGCTGTTTGTTGAGAACAAAATATCAGGCCCACAGGTTGTTTCAGACACTTTAACATCTGTTGGGACACTGCGTGCCACGTACCAGGTAACTACAGCTCCCTGGAGCCACAAGACAGTTCCAGTCCAAGGCCAGGATTAAAAAGCCTAACTCGGCCCAGCAAGGCCCTTATCCATACTCCCTAGAAGGGACCATTCTGTTCTGAGAGATGACAGGGCACGCGCTTTGTTCAAACTGCTTCAGTCAAGACACTTGAAAAATAAGTTCCTCATTGGCAAGGAGTTGGGGGATAATGTTCATCTCAAAAGGACTTAAAATCTCTGCACTCAGTCACTTTAAAGGCATCCTTTAGTCCCTGGAGACAGAGAACGCACTTCAGCAGTGAGTCCCCACGCCCTATGTACAGTCATGAAGGGTGCCTCTCCTCTTGCGCGTCCTAGCTCTTGGGGCTGGACGGCACTTTCCACAGCAGAGTACATGCCCTTTCCATCTTCCCATCCTGGACATTCAGAAGACAGGAGAATCACAGAAAGGGCAGGGGCTTTGCAGTAACCTCTTAATCCAGTCAGGATCTACAAAAGTAAGACAAGCAGTATTGAGCGTAAACTTCAGAAAAGGCAATCAAATGGGATGAGCCCTGGATGGACCACAGTATTAAGGGATGGGCACTCTGGTTCCAGCTCTGTGTCCCTGGACAGAGCCCCTCACTACAACGTTCTAGACGAGGTTGGACTAAATCTGTGGTTCCCAAAGCTAAGTGCGTGATGAAATAGGAAAATAAGGGTAATGAATGAGTGTTTCATAAAGCCTAATTTATTCTGTTTAAAGAAAGGACTATACTTTGTTTTCTGAGAGTATATCCTTCATACATGGATAATGTTAAAATACTCTTATAAAATTACAGTAACAGTAACTTTAAAAAATACATTACTTGGAAAGATAAAAACACGGCAACACTGTGTCAGCACGTCCTCCCCCTTTTAAAAGCTTCCCTGGTCTGTGAAGTGCTGTGCCCTACTGCTTAGCAGCCTCCAGGTCTCAGCGCTTCACATTCTCCCCAAGAGCTGAATGTGCTCAACACAAAGTCAACTGGCAGGTGTGTTTTTTTAAATTTGTTTCCATCTTTTCCTGATTTCCTGTCTAAATAGTATACCAATTCTCAATTGCAATGAGTGTTTAAAAGTCCCCCAACATTTGCTTCAAAATAATCCAGTAAGAGGAGGGAAGAGGGGGGAGGACTACAGATGAAACATGAAAGGTCATGAGCTGGCAATTTCTGAAGTTGAATGATGGGTACATCAGTTTCTTATACTCTTTTCCTCTACTTTTATGATTGCATTTTCCATAACAAAGAGTTAATACAGAACACAAGCTGCCAACACACCAACTTCTCAGAATTAGAGAGCTTCAGCCAGGTTAGAGCAAAAATCAATAAGGGTGTAGTTTTACACAGAACATTTTGTTTTACTTGAGACCATAAATTACCCCCAAAGTGTACACAGGTGTATAATGGTGTCTAGTTAGCTCATTTGGTTAGTGTGATGTTAATGAACCTCAGGTCACAAACTGACATTCACGGGACTGTTTACATCACTAATTCCTGACTCACATCTACGATCTTATTTCCAACTAGTTATGTCATAAATGTGGGCTTTGTCACCGGGGCTATCAGGAAAGAGAATACTGACCAACCGGAAAAAGAATCCCACCATGGCTACTAGAAGGATGACCGCAAGTGCATGTCCCTGTTTCAGCAATGCTGTCTTTGTATACGCTATCAGTTGCAGTTTTCCTTCAAACACTATATAGTCTATACATGCCATCTAAAACAAGCTTTTTTGAATAATTTGCTTGCAGTGACAGAACAGTAAATTGCAGCCCTACTTACTCCCATACTAAAATGCAACAGGTATGTTAACGTGAATAATGTTCCAGTGACCATTTTTTAATTAGTTGTGGTTTACGATAATAGTATACAGAGCACGAGGAGCCTGCTCACCATCCCTGATGGCGCAAGACTAAGCAGGAGGGAGGACTTGGGGGTGCTGGCATGGTGCCAGCATGCTCAACCTCACCCTCCCACAAGCTGGGAAAGCATTCACCTTCTGGGGCTGGATGGCGGGCAATGCTGTCATGGAGCAAACACCTTCTGTATATCAAACTCTGGCAGGACTGGTAGGTTAAAAAGCACCTGAAAGCAGACAGATTGTACCATCAGTTCTACTAATGGTGGAAAGCAGCATAGTGTTGAAGGTAACTCACCACATACAGTTTTTCTAAAACCACAAGTTAACTAAGTAAAGGGCAAAAACAGGTCACAAATGCATGGCGACAATGTATCCCTCTGCACAGGCCAGACCTACCCCACCCCACACTCAGTAAAGGGGAAGTGTCGGTCAGGCTAAACCAAGAGATACAAAGCTTCTAATCCAGACAGTCACTGCAGCTTCTTTTTTTTGGCATGTTTGCAGCACTGAGAAAGAATGTAGTCTGCTTACACCTGATTACACCGTGAATTTTTCATATGCTAAAAAAAATCAATTATGTATTATACTGGAAACTATTCTTGTTAGTGATTTTTAAGATTAGGTATAAGCACTGTCTTTAAGAATCTGACAGCACAGTGGGGAAAACCTGGAAGATATAGAAGACAAAATTCACGGTGCAAAAAAAGAAGGGCCATGAACAAAAGCTCAGAGGTTCAATTCCATCCAATGACCATTCACTGAGCATCTACCAGGACTAGGCAAATAAGGGAAGGTGGGCAGCAGTGGGATATGAGAGAGAGCACTTGGGCTCTGCGTGGAAGGTTTTCTGCAGGATAACAGTGTTTAGGATGAGCAACTAAGCAGTAAAAAATACAATGAGGAAGGGAGGGTTGGGGGAAGGAATTCCAAGTAGGTTTACCTTGAGTAAAGACTTGGGTGTACAGGAAGAAAGATTATACCTGAGTGGGAGCAAGTACCCATTCTCACCAGGAGAAATTACACCCAGGTATTCTGGCACTAACTTCAATCAGCAAAAATGAAAATAATTTTTGTGGAAGAAGCCATCTGAGAGACAACAATGTATAGTGGTTACACATGGAAACTCATGGAGCCAGAAGGCCAAGTTCTCAGCTCTGCCGCTAACCGCCTGTGTGCCTCTGGACAAATTCGAACTTCCCCAGTCCCCAGTTTCCTCATCTGTAAAAATGGGAACAGTGGCGGTGCCCCTCATGTGGCTCAGGATGCGTGTACTGCTTAGAGTCGTGCCTGGCACGCTGGCAGCGCCAACAGGCGCAAGTGGCTACTGTTACAAGGCCACTACTACTACAAGCTTGTTTCCTCTTCTCTGCAAACATAAGGCAGAACAGTCAGATCAGAAGTCTAGGGACACAGCAACGGCCGGGAAATCCAGACATCCATCAGTAAGAGGGAGTACTGGAGCATCCATGCAGTGGAAAACTCTACAGCTGTTAAGAAGGGGATCTATGTACTGATGTGGAAAATGCCCACAACATCTTGCTAAGAGAACACACAAGTTGTTAAGGTAGTTATATGTAGCACAATCCTGTTTCTATTGGAAATAAACTTTAAAAACCTACTGAGTGCCTACCACACACCAGGCATTGTTCTAGAAATAGCCATGAACAAAACAACCAAATTGCCTGTCTTCATGAACTTTCTATTCCAGAGAAAGGAGAAAAACATAAAGTAAAAAATATACTAAGTGGGACTTCCCCAGTGGTGCAGTGGTTAAGAATCTGCCCACCAATGCAGGGGACACGGGTTCTAGCCCTGGCCTGGGAAGATCCCACATGCTGCGGAGCAACTAAGCCTGTGCACCACAACTACTGAGCCCACGTGCCACAACTACTGAAGCCCACGCGCCTAGAGCCCGTGCTCCGCAACAAGAGAAGCCACAATAAGAAGCCCGCGTCGCACAACCAAGAGTAGCCCCCTCTCGCGGCAACTAGAGAAAGCCTATGCATAGCAACGAAGACCCAACACAGCCAAAAATAAATAAAATAGATTTATAAAAAAGAAAGAGAAGGTTCCTCATTAAAATATATATATATATATATATATATATATATATATATAGTAGTGATAACTGCTAAGGAGGGAAATAAAGCAAGGAAGAGAGATGAAGACTACATACTGAGACGGGAGAGGGATGTCATCAGGTGTCACGATTTTAGGCAGTGTGGCAGGGAAGGAAGCCCTGCGGACACCTGCTGGAAAAGCACCCCGGGCAGAGAGGACAGCCAGTGAAGACGTCCAGGGTGGGAGGGGTGCCGCATGTACCTGAGGAACAAGGAGGCCAGGGCACCTCAAGTGAAGTCAGCAAGCTGGAGAAAACGCAGACGAGATCAGAGAAGGGATGGGGGCCAGGCCATGGAGTCTTGACCACTGAATGGATTTTAGCTTTTACTCATCAGAAATGGGCAGCCACTAGGGAGTTTTGAGCAGAGGGGGTGACAAGAGCTGATGAGGTCGTAAAAGGATGACAACCTCAGCTCTACTTAGAACAGCCAGGAGGGGGCAAGGAAAGACACAGAAGATGGGCTGGGAGATAACTATAATAATCTGGGCAAGAGATGATGGTGTCATGGACCAGGGATGTAGAGGTGGAGGTAGCAAGAAAAGGCTGGATTCAAATTTGAAATGCCTTTAAAACTTCCAAACAGAGCAACTGAGCAGGTGCTTAGATATGAAGTCTAGACTGAAGGGGAATGATTCAGACTAAAGCAATATGTTTAAGTCACCAGTGTACAGATGATAGGCAACAGCCCAGGGAGAGTGGTGACAGAAGACAGACAGGTCCAAAGATGGACATCAAGGAGATACTGTGTCCAGAGGGCCAGGTGATAACAAAGCGCTTTAAGGAGGAGGAAGAGGGAGTGACCAACTGCGTCACGTGCAGCCCGTGGGGCCATGAGGACACGCCAAGCTTCCCTCTTAGAGTGAGATGGCGGAAGACCTCTACCTTTTGTTAGAGATAAACCAGACGGAGTACAGAAGCACTTTGTATTCTATTAACTTCGGCAGGTATTGCTTTCGTCATATACTGATTTTTAAAAATTTAATGCTACTTCAAAGCAAAATAATATTTTCACCAAAATAAATAAACCCCTATGTACAAGCAGCAGAAAATAACCCATCATTAAAGGGTGTCTTGCTGAGTCAAACGGATGGTAAAAAGCCCACACCAGGTTTTACAGTAGCAGCTTTTCTCCAACCTAATGGCATGGGCAACATATACTTTGGATAAACACTTTACAGTGGTTTGTGTGACACAAAACTGGAAAATGAGCAAAAGCAGCTTACCGGAGCCAAATGTGGCCATTGGAACAGACTGCCTGTTTGCGATCTGTGAATGGCAAAATCTCTTTACACAAACTACAGTGCTCGGGGAAAGTTTGCTTGTTCATCTTCTTTGAGATGTGTCCGATCAGCACCTAGTAAGACAAAGCAGTCAGCAGTGTTTTGTGGTGAGTGCAGGGCTTCCCAACACAAAGGAGAAATGGAAAACTGCACGGTGTCTTACACACAACAGGAGCTCTGCATCTCCACGTAGGCCCATCACTCTCTGTGAAAAGTAAAAAAGCTGGACCTTCAACTTGTGTCAACTGGCTGAGTACAAGAAAATAAATTCATTCAGGCACCCTGTGACGACAGAGTGAACTTTACCCACTAAAGGAAAAACTGTTCTGAAAACGCAAATCTTATTCCTTGCCTTTAATTGCTTCTGAAGCAAGGACTTCAGAGGTCTGTTAGAAGACAAAGTATTCAGCTATACTTACAATGTTTTGACTTTAAGAGAAACATAATCTCTATAGGCAAAATATCATGTGAAACACTAACTCTGTAGAACTATACAAATGTCTATTCTCTGAGAAAAGCTTACAAAGTAAAAAGATAATCAAGATTAAAAAATAATAATTTCCCCTTCTGATGGCCCAAAGACCCATGACCAATCCAGTCAGCCTGCAACTGGAGAGCAACCGACCTCACAGCAGAGGCATGGCGGGACCCACCGTGGGAGTGGGAGAGATGGACGGGGCAGGCTCCAGGCCGTGGCCCCACTTCAGCTTTGCTTGTTTCTCTGCTTTATTAGAATTGCATCACTCCAAAAATGAAAGTCTGCAAAACACTGACCTACTTCATTATTTTGTTGGAAAAACATCTGTACCAGCTATATTACTGGGAGGCATGGGATACACCAATCCTTAAGAACCACCTTGTCTTACTAGCAGATAATGTCCTTCAAAGTTTTAATCCATTGACACTTTAAGCTCACTAAAATTAGTTCACTGAAGATACTGAAGGGTATCTTAATAGCTCAAAAGGGTGTCTTACCTACTCTACATATAATTTACAAATTTAAAGCCCATTAACTTTTGGCCTTTTTGGCCTTGAAAATTCTAATTTATGGTCCCTTATAGCAGGGACAACCAATGTACTAGGTTTGAAAAGATTCATTTTTATGAACACAGTAGGATTTTACTTTATTTTTTAGTTGTTGAAAACAAAGTTTATTCCCTGTCTTTCAAAATATGTGCATTTATTAAGAAAACTGTCCAATGGTTTACTGTCAGATTTCACAAGCAACCTTCAAAGCAGGGGATAAAGAAAGTTATAAATTCCAAGTTACAAGTTAAGTACTCTCCTTAGCCTTTAACTAGTAAACTCCAAAACAAAAAACATTTGTTTTACGCAGTAGGATTTTAAAACATGAAATGTATCGTGTTCAATCAAAACTCAGTTGCTGTAGATGGGCAGAGGTATAATCTTCCCTTCTTTAAATTGGCTCTGTTGGAACCAAGTAACTATGCTAAATGTAGCTTTCCATGCTCATGCAGCATCTGGACAATTATTCTGAATCATTGCCAACCAGCTTCCATTACAAATTTCCTAAAATGTTTTTGTTAATATTTTACACTTATAATATCCCTGCTAGGTCCTATGAACCAGTGATACCAGAAAACTCTTCCACACAATTTAGACCACAATGAAACAATTCTTAAAAGTTGACTTTCAAAGATGAAAAGTCAGTTACATGAACAGTACATCTTAACTACTTGGGTGTGAATGAAAGTACTGCCTGCAGTATCAGTAAACAAAGGATGTTGCTGCCATCGAGCCATCACGTTACAGCTGCCCGTCAGTGAGCCCTGAGGGAACTCATGATGGAGGCGGGATGCCCCCCCCCCCCTCCCCAACCCTGCCACCCTGCCCCGGCACCTAGCAGTCAGCCGCTACAGCCACCCCTGACGGTGCACCAAGGAGACTGGATGAGAAGCACAGGATACTGGCCCCATGTAGCTGAGGTGCACATCAAAGGAATGATTCCAGTGAGCCCAGACTTGGCATCTTCCCATACATAGAAAAGCGCTAAATTCCTTAACTTCAGATATCTGGTTTTCCTTAATTAACAGTAATCTTTAATGTAATCCAACTACCCTGGTCTTTGTTGCAACAACTCCAATATATCCTGGCTCCACCCCCTTGCCCCTTGGGAGCGAGCAGTCCCTCAGCACTATCTGAGATGCTGTGTCCCAGGCTTAAGTCCTCAGTTTTGTCTGCCAAATAAAATGTAACTCTGAACTTTTAGGTTGTGTATTTTTTTTCAGTCAACATCAGATTGTTACAAACATCCTTAAGAAATAATTTTAGGGGTGTACGGGTACACACACACACACACCTTTCCAACAAGAAAATGCAACAAGTGATTCGCGAATGGTTTAATATTAGACATGAAGATATCTGAATTTATTACCTGCAATTAATATTTTAGATAAGACTTTAAGCAGTGAGAATAAATAGCAATCTTCAGAGTAAAAAGAACCACAGATATCTGTGGTCCTGAATATTTTAGTATACAGTTCCTTAAAACTGTATGTGTTTATGTTCCTTAAAACACAATTCTTCAGGATTTTAGAAGCTGTTAGCTCAGGATTCCTGATTAATAAGTCTATATAACACTGAGCTACACAAAGTTAAATGACTTCTTTCCTATAGGAATTCCCAGAACTCTCAGAAGGATGACGTACACTGGGAACCTTTAAGAGGAGTATAGAGTATGCAGTATTTCCCCAAGCTTAGAACCCTACTGTTCTGTCAGGGAACTTGAATTCTGTGAAATACATTTTGGATAATACTGTAAGATTGTTCTACCATCAAAATACAGATTATACCCAGTTTTTGTAACAAAACAACAATGTATAAGTAATTATTTGTTTACCTCCTATGCCCTTCTAGACTGAATCAGAAGACCCCCTCAAGTACTATCAAATGGAAACAGTCCCGGCCACAGTCCTCCCACTTCCCAAACCTTCTGCAAGCAGGAAGGGAAAGGAGGGTGTGCCACACTTCCCCTGCTGGGTCTGCCTGATCACGACGTAGTCTGCTTCTGGAGCTCATCCATAGCCTGGAAATCTCCCAAACCTTGCGTACCAATCAAGGCCCTAGTGAGAGTAAGAACTGAAATGTTCTTTGTGTGATATGTATGTGTCCTCTGCATTAATCTGTTTCTTATTTATTCTCCTGCACCTCATGCCAATCAATTACCTAAAAGATGTCAAAGCGGAAGCTGAGCTTTACGAGTTAAGTTTAGGTCATTTCTTTCTCACAAAGAAAGCAGACTTTTCAGTTTCAGTGTTTTGGTTAATAAACACCTACCCGTGCGGTCCTGTCCTCATACTCTTCATCAGACATTAGAAAGTTACAGAGCCCCCGGGTGGGGATGCTAGTGTTTTCCGTGATCCAGGTGTGCAGGTACACTTCGCCTAAGACTCGCTTCATGTGCTCCCGGGTCAAGTGCATTTCCACAGCTTCAATTTTCCCTTGGATTTCAAGGAGCTTCTCTTCCATTGGCTCTCGGCCTCCAGTGTCTCCAGGCTGAGTGACTGAGTCATCTGTGGGGCCCTCTGGATCACCTCCTTTGCTCCTCTCCTGAAGGCCTTGCTTATTTGTCTGTTCAGAGGCAGCGCCTTCTTCCTGCTGCTCGCCCTCAGCATTGCCCGTCCCAGGTGAGTCAACTAGTAAGATTTTTGAGTCCTCAAGGATGGGTCTGCATAAGGCTTCTGAAGCGGTTTTCTGCATCGACTGGTATAAAATCCTCAGGAGGAAGAGTTTGAAACGCCAATAATAGGTGGCCCCACTGCTTTCAATCTTTTTTTCCAAAGCTTCTTGTAAAAATTGAGGGATACGTTTATCTTTTAAAATCTTCCAACGTACTAGGTCTATTAAATCTACCTGCTTAAAGAGATTTTGAATTGAAGATTGCAGAAGCTTAGCAGCTGCCTCTTCAAAGGCTTTGAGAGTAACGAACTGAACCTGGTAGTTTTTGTTAACGGGATGGAGGCCGTTGACCATGCCCTCAGTGGTAATGACGGCCAGGTACGCACCACAGGGGCTCACAGCTATCCCGTGTGTCCTCACTGAGCCAAACACATCTGAGAGTTTAATCAAATGGTGTTCAAACTTCAATGCAACATCTGTGAAAATGGGAACCAGCTGCCTCACCTTCCCATCACTGGAACAAGTATATACCGTCCCATTCTGCTTGTCTGCAGTCATGGAGACAATCGGCAGTGAGTGCAGGCCTGTGACATGAGAATTGTGAACATTCAGACCTGCTTTGGAGATCAGAAGAAGACACCAAAACACATAGGGTCCTCTTGCGGCCACCACCAAGCTACAACTACACTTCTGGTAAGGGTGATACAGCGGTACACACTTGATGCTGTGTACTGGCAAATGGTCCATTTCTTTCCACAAGACGACAGGCTGCCTTAACGTGAAATAGCCTTTAACTGCTTTGAGATTGACAGGAAGAATTTTTACAGGTCCAAAAGCACTCCCCACAATAAGGCCGCTCATTTTCCGATTATTGTGCTCATATTCCCACCAAAACAAAACACTAGGAGAGTTGATTCCCGACTCAATTGTGTTGCATGAAGAGATAGACTCCTTTCCTACAAACGGTAGCTGAAACTGCCACACAGCAATGTTACCGTTTTCAAAGAGGACGGCCAGGAGCACGCTGCCCACATCGCGGCACTCATTGTTATGCTTGACCTGCTGAGTGGTACAGATGCCTGACCACTCCATCCTGACTGGTGTCTGCATGCTGTGTCTTCTCTGAAACTCAGCAAAATCCCTGAGATTCCCTTCCGGGGCCTCACTTTTAGAGAACCTGTAACTGGTCTCATAAAGACGTTCTCCATAAATCTCTGTCAGATCGACCAGCTGGACCCACTGCAGTCTGTTGAGGTTAGCCTGGATGGTCAGGCGATTGTCCATGGTCAGTGCTGCCAGGAGGCACCTGCCATTAGCATCACAGCCCATGGGGGACCAGCTAGTGTACTTGAATCCTCTCAGTGGCGGCAAAGCCTTCCCCTCAGGGTTGAACACCCGGTCCAACATGAAAGTCTGACTGACTGTGGGGTCTTCAGAGGCAGCAAATTTCTCCTTACACTCAGCAACTTCCGTTTTTGAGCCAACCTGAAAATAAGAGATATAAAAACTATCATAAATATTTCACTCTAAGAGGACTATATTTACATTGATTAGAGTGAATTAACTGATTCACATAAATCAGTTACATATTATAAATATGTAAAACAGTAATTTGATCTCAGTTCTGTTAATTTTGGCATGACATGCATTTAAAAGATCAAGCACATGTCTAAAACTAAATGAGCATTCACTCAGGAAATGGCAATTTTTTCTTAAGGGTCAGAATAAGTGCTGTCATCATTCATAGCCTCGTTCCCACATTGTTCTCAGAATTGACATATGCAGTAGCAATGACAAAGATGTACTTGATTCTAAAGAGTCAGCTAAGCATTCTGCTGAACTAGTCACAAAACAATAAAGGAGAAAGTCATGAAAAATTATCTATCTATATACATCTTTGATACAATTAGATGTTTGGATTTTTAACAATATTTTTGTAATACAAATGTCAGCTCTTAAGTTTTCTATCTGAAATTTCATTTACAAATTACGCTGAGAGCCAACTCCAACAGTCTGTCCACTGTTTCTTTCTTTTCTTTTTTAAAATTAATTTATTTTTATTAATTTATTTTTGGCTGCGTTGGGTCTTCGTTGCTCCGTGCAGGCTTTCTCTAGTTGTGGTGAGCGGGGGCTACTCTTCGTTGCAGAGCACAGGCTTCTCACTGCGGTGGCTCTTGTTGCGGAGCACGGGCTCCAGGCGCATGGGCTTCTGTAGTTGTGGCACGTGGGCTCAGTAGTTGTGGCTCATGGGCTCTAGAGCGCAGGCTCAGTAGTTTTGGCGCACGGGCTTAGCTGCTCCATGGCATGTGGGATCTTCCCAAACCAGGGCTCGAAGCTGTGTCCCCTGCATTGGCAGGTGGATTCTTAACCACTGCGCCACCAGGGAAGTCCCTGTCCACTGTCTCTACAGAGTAATGTCCACTGCCGTTAGACTATTTGCCGTTCCCTGAACACTCCCACTCTGCCTTCCTGTCTCCTTTGTGTAGAATGCTCTCGTTCCTCCTATTTGAACCCCATCCCTCTTACCAGGTCAAACTCTATGAGGCCTTCTGAGATCATTCTAGCTTTCATTTATCTCTCCCTCCTCCAAGTCTGTAATATACATGAGCAGTGCTATTTATTTAACATCTAGGTGTACAATGGTAAGCTCTTTAGAAAGATTTTAAAGGGACATTAAAGATAGAGGAGAGATAAATGACCAAAAGAAAGTGGTCCAGAGCTATAAGAAAATAGCCAGAAAGGCTAAAGCCCAAAAAGAACACAGGTCAATTAAAATATGGTTTCTGGGGGCTTCCCTGGTGGCACAGTGGTTAAGAATCCGCCTGCTAATGCAGGGAACATGGGTTCGAGGCCTGGTCCGGGAGGATCCCATATGCCGCGGAGCAACTGGGCCCGTGAGCCACAACTACTGAGCCTGCGCTCGGGAGCCAGTGTGCCACAACTATTGAGGCCCGCGTGCCTGGAGCCCGTGCTCCGCAACAGGAGGAGCCACTGCAATGAAAAGCCCACACATCACAACAAAGAGTAGTCCCTGCTCCACGCAACTAGAGAAAGCCCACGTGCAGCGACCAAGACCCAACGCAGCCAAAAATAAATAAATAAATAAATTTATTAAAAAATAAAAATAAAATATGGTTTCTGTTAAGTCAGAAGCAGGAAGAAGAAAAGGACTTGAACCACTGTCTTTAGAGAAATGGGTAACAGAGAAAGCAGAATCTTTCGATTCCTTTTTAGTGTCAATCTTCTTTTACATAGAGGCTGATCTTCAAACTGGAAAGAGTAGATTAAACATGATTAAAAAGGAATTCAAGCCTAAATATACATGGATATAACAAAATTCACTTTAAATGAGTTTAAGTCCCCAAGCCCAGAGGAATTACACTCCAGAATATAGAAAGACCTTGGAAGATGAACTCAGAACCATTACATTCCTTGATAAAGCTTGGACAACCAGAGATGTGTCAGAAAACCATAATGCAACAAATAGTTAACTGCTAAACTGCATAATACATAAGCATATAAAATGAAAGGTAGATATATAAAGTCCAACAAATGAATTAGAAGACTTACTTTTCCTAAAGTGTGTTAAACAGAACATCACTTCCCTAAATTGCCCCTTGAAAAAGAGGTCTATAACCAAATAAGTTTTGAAAATGCTATATATTATATATTATTCCCCCTTCAAGAGTTACAGCCAGGGAGCTACTGAAGAGACTTATTTAACCAGAGTTACCCAATCTTTTATTTTTATTTTTTATTTACTTATTTATTTTTTTTTACCATTCTTTAAAAATTGGGGTATAGTTGCTTTACAGTGTTGTGTTAGTTTCTGCTGTACGGCGAAGTCAATCAGCTATACGTACACACGTATCCCCTCTTTTCTGGATTTCCTTCCCATTTAGGTCACCACAGAGCATCGAGTAGAGTTCCCTGTGGTATACAGCAGGTTCTCATTAGTTACCTATTTTATACATATTAGTGTATATACGTCAGTCCCAATCTTCCCAGTTCATCCCATCCCCCCACCCTTCCCCTCTTCGTGTCCATACGTCCAAACTTTTTTTTTTAAACAACAGAACCTTTCGGGGGGCTGTCACCTCTGGAAATTGTGTCTTGGGCAGTGTATCTTGATTTTAGGGTAGTCTCTTGGATACACCTACAGACATGCTGGAGAAAAACAGACTGGAAATTCCAATTAAATACAGGTGTCACTGGCTAACCTGTTAATAAAACAATGCTAATCAAAGCCCAGAGCTTTGGATGGGTATATAAAATTTGAGTGAAAATCTTTCCTGTGATGCCAGACTGCCTGGATTCAAATCCTGGCTCTATCATACACTAGCTCTGTAACCCTGAGCAAACTGTTTAAACCTTCTGGCTTTAATTTCCTCGTGTATAAAGAGTATAATAATACATGTTCTCATAGAGTTTGGAAGGTTAATTAAGTCAATGTATGTAAAGCACATACTAATAAATACTCAATAAATGTTATCTATGATGACAATTATTAATACTCCCTGAGGATTAAGTAAATGTTAATGAGACCTAATAAAAATATGTAAAATGCAGGGTAGATAGGCATTAAGTTGTCCACCAAATGAAGGGTAGATATAAAATTGTTCACCAAATCCCATAATACTGTAAACTAAGCAATAATCCTCAGACTAGGATAATTTACTATTACAATAAAAGCTACTATAGAACTGAAAGTAAACTTACAGAATGTGTAACCCCAAACAGCAGCACAGAATGAAATAAAGGAAGCTCAAGCTTGGTCCTACTCACTGCAGGAAGAATCCTTGACGGAATGGAGAGCAGTGTGGATGTCAGCCAGTAGCGAAAATCCTTAGGGTTGTTTGTGCAGTAATTTCTAATATGTTAGGTGTTTGAATTAGCCTACTGCACCTCCCCTCAACTCTCCATATCACAAACTAGTTAACAAATCAAAACAAGTACTCAGATGCCCTAGGAGCATACCAGTTAAGAGTCCAGCTCCCAGAGGCTGACCCCCGGCCAATCATTTGACTATAACCCGTTCCTAGTTGGCCACTATTACAACTAATAGCTATGTACTTTGTAAGCACCTAACAAATAAAAACTCATTTGAAGCTACTAGACAGCAAACTTCTTGAGGGCAGGAATATAATTCCAAAGACAGGAAATAGTTATTTAACTTAATGTAGTAGATGGAGTTAATGTTACTAACGTTCTTAACAACTGATACAAATTAGTTATGCATATATTATTAGAATTTGGAACTGTGTACAACTAGATGATTCATTAAATCAGCAGTCCAATGGGAAAAGAAACTGCAACTTACTCTTTTTTTTTTAATTAATTAATTTATTTTTGGCTGCGTTGGGTCTTCGTTGTGGTGCGTGGGCTTGTCATTGCGGTGGCTTCTTTTGTTGCGGAGCATGGGCTCTAGGCGCGCAGGCTTCAGTAGTTGTGGCATGTGGGCTCAGCAGTTGTGGCTCGCGGGCTCTAGAGCGCAGGCTTAGTAGCTGTGGTGCATGGGCTCAGATGCTCCACGGCATGTGGGATCTTCCCAGACCAGGGCTCGAACCCATGTCCCCTGCACTGGCAGGCGGATTCTTAACCACTGCGCCACCAGGGAAGTCCACAACTTATTCTTAAGTCACTATTTTATTGCTTTTCAGATTTATATCATTCACCTTTATATCACATAACCTCAGTGCCCAGGACAGTAACTTGCAAATTGCAGATAATATGTCAACTATTATTTAACTGCATATTTTCCTGAAAAAATTCATAATCTAAATAATGATCAGACAAAAGCTTCAAAGCGGTTTAGTATCTACCTTCTAGCAGTGCTACATACTGAAATCTAGGTTGCAGAATGTCCACCTTTCATGTTAGAGCGAGCTGGACAGCACCAAGTAGATTTAAATCCACAGGGACTGTCAACAGGTAGTGCAATCAAAGTACAGATAGAAACTTCTTTACATTCCTACCATTACTCCAGTTTTATCCCACAGAAGCCTCTTTTAGAATTGCAGGACAACTCAGCATTCATTCACCAGGCAGTGCTAGGCCAATAAGATTGCTGATTGGTGGTTTCTGTGATGTGCATACCGAAGAACAGTGCAGAAGGGGAAGATGCCACTAATTAATTTCAGGAAAGCAATCAACTACCAGAGGGATATATAAAGATTTCCTATTACTCATTTTTCAGGTGTGGAACCAACGACAGAGTCAAATTTTTATCAGAATACAGTACTATAAATAACTTCATATCCATAGTCATAGCAATAACCCAAACTCCTTCCTTCATACTTGTATGACTATTTTTAAAATTGAGCATTTACAGTGCGCCAGGAACTGTGCTAAGTAATTACACATGTGTATGTATGTACGTATATAAATATATATTTAACTGAATCTTCCGAAAATTCTAAACAAGGTAGGTTTTATTTATTTATTTATTTTTGCGGTACGCAGGCCTCTCCCTGTTGTGGCCTCTCCTGTTGTGGAGCACAGGCTCCGGACGCGCAGGCTCAGCGGCCATGGCTCACGGGCCTAGCTGCTCCGCAGCATGTGGGATCCTCCCGGACCGGGGCACGAACCCGCGTCCCGTGCATCGGCAGGCGGACTCTCAACCACTGCGCCACCAGGGAAGCCCAAGGTAGGTTTTATTACCCTTCTTTTATAGATGGGCCTATCTTGCTATCTGGTGCCAAAGTGCAATCTCTTAACCCCTGTCTTATATTGACGCCAACAATCATCTACTTGCCTCTAGGCCGGCCAGATTCACATTCCTGAACCACACCAGGTCAGTCCACATCCATGATATTGTAACAGCACTTTAGGCCTTCCTAGATTGAAGTCAACCATCTCAGACTGACCTTCAAAGTTCCCAAATTGGCCTCACTTTACTTCCTCTGACTCTCTAGGAAAGCTACTTGAACTCAACTGTTGACCCATCATTATTTACACAAACAGCAGCAAGTTATGCTCATGATTTACATGTATGTGTGTGAGACGGGCACCTCATTCCTGCCATCTGGATGACCCTTTCCTCCGGAGGACTTCTCACAATCCAAACCCTACCTTTTTTTAGGTCTGCTGCAGATTCACCACCAAATAACCTTCCCTGATAAAAGCATCTCGCTTCACTGTTCCTTCCTTTCTTTAAATTCTCTCTGCTAAAGTATTAAATCTCTACCATATTGAGACACACACTTAAGATTTTCTCTAGCTGATGTGCATATGAACATCCTTAGCAACAGTAAGTTTCTTTTCAGCAGAGGATACACCTTTTAAAACCCCTTTGTTCTGCCTCCCTCCTTGAGTGTTTCTCAGTTCGGTAGCATTAAGAACATCTATCCACCTGATTGGTTATACTTGAATCAATTTGTTCACATCTTGTCCAAGATCTTAGAAGGCTTAGTCATACAGGTTTACCAATGATCCAACTCAACATCAAATTATCAGTTTCAAACTTGGATTAAGTATCCTAAAAAGTGGTGTGGGTTCCCTGTACCCTACCCAGTTAGTGATTCCTACTTTAAATGGCTGTGCAGAGTAAGAGTTTTTTTAAAAAAACTTCAAGTTCATAAAAATACGTTCTCTTTATATAGATACATATCCTTACAACGTTTATCACTACCTATTATTACATTGTTATTTGTTCACGACTTGCAAAAAGAAGGTAAGCTCCATGAGGACAGGAACTTTGTTTTGTACAATGCTTTACTTCCGGAACCTAGACTGGTGCCTAGCTGATACACAGTGGTATTCAAAAATGTGTTAAATATACACTTTGACTGTCACATATATGCATACAGATCTATAAAAGAAACAGCGAAAGTTTTAATACTTTTAGACCACTAAAATGAACAACACGACTTACTACTTAAAAAATAAAACAACTTGCAAATGGTGATGATAGAACAATAAAACTTCAGGAGCCCTAAAGTTCTGAAGGCAAATTTAGTTCACAGGAAACCGAAGCATGTGTCGGGAGTGGATGGGTGACCCGGGAAATCGGGCGTAAACCTCTGGACGGTTTTTTGTTTCTTTTTTAAGCTACCGTGACCCTAAACGCTGGAGGCGAGGAGGGGAATCCCCGGACTAGGCGTGGGCCGGGAATCCCCAGGGACCAGTGACACGGGCGCGGGAGGGGAGCAGGAAGAGGCCCCAGGGCTGCGGCCCGGGGATGACTTACTTTGAGGAAGCAGCTGTTGAGAGGCGCAGACACCGAGGTGCGGTGGATAACCAGGTCCTGGCCCGGGTTGTGCACGTCGCAGATGAGCTCCAGCACAGCGATGCTGCGGGCCGTGGACACCGACACGCGGTGGTCCTCGGACCACGCCAGCGGCTCCAGGCCGCTCACCGCATACTGCAGCTTCACCGCCGGTTCCCGCCGAGTCACTAGGAGGCGGAACGCAGCGCTGGGCCCGGGGGCCGCGTCCGCCCCCGGCTCCTTCCCGCCCGCCTCGCCCTCCTTCTCCTCGGGTGGCGCAGGCCGGTCGGCCGCGGGCCCCACCCGGGCCTTGGCCGTATTCATCTCTCCTCGGATGCAGAAGCCGACCCCGGGCGCACCAACCGCGCGTCACCGTCCCGTTGCCGCCTCCCGCAACGCGGCCGCCTGCCCCCAACGTCCTTAGCTGCGGTTTTCTCCCCTCAGGCCCGAAGCGCCGCCGAGCCAGGAAGGACCCCGCCGTTGCTAGGCGACCCAGCCCTGCCAGGTGGCCAAGGCGCTGCCTGTAAAAAAACGCTAGTCCTCTGCTGGCTGGACGGAAGCGCCCGGGCTGGACAGCGGGTGGGCGAGGGGCAGGGACCCCCACTCCGCCCCCGCCGCGGCGTGACCAATCCCCAATCCCTTTTAGGGACCTCCCGGGGCAACTAAGGTGCTGAGGGAACAGTAACCCGGCGGCAAAGGAAGGAAACATTGGTTCGATGGGGCACGCCTCTTGTTTCTCAAAGGAATTCAAAGAACTGCACGGCAAGAACTGAGGGGTTGAGTGTGACTTGACACCCCCTGCCATAGGCCAAGCCACTAGGGACGCCAAACGGGGCCGCCGCCTCGCCCTGGGGCCCCGGGGCCGCGGCTTCGATCTCTAGTGGCGCGGGGCCGCGTGTTCGCGGGCTCTTCGGGGCCCGGAAGGCGCGCGGGCGCAGGACCCGGCGGGGCAGCTACGCGGGGTCCTCGCGCACGTCTCACGTGGGTCCGAGCGGAGTGGCGGTCCGGTTCGCGAGGTCTCGACTCGCCTTTCCGCCGGAATGGCAGCAGCCGACGGAGTGCTTCCTCATGTTCCCGAGTCCCGGTCCGCAGTCCCCACAACGTCCTCCAGACCCCGCCCAGCCCAGTCGAGGCGGGTGAGTTCTGACCCGGTTTCGGATTCGTTCGCACCCAGGGCCGCGGCGCGCCGGGACCTACCGCCTTGCCTCTCGGTCGGGGTTCGAATTACTTGCGGAGTTAAGAGGGGAAAGTCAGATATCCGGCAGCTCCTCGAGGAGTCGCTGAGCAACACGTGTCTGAGACCGGGACACCATTCTAAGGAGACGTTCTTGGAGGGAGCGGAGCGGGTGTAGACGGGCGGGAGGCTGGCGCGGGCTGCTAGTTGGAGGCAGGGATCTGAGACTCACTCGGAGAAATTAGGAACTGACGCTCGCGCGAGAGGCCCAGCTTGTCACTCACCAAGCGCATCTCTGAACTTCTTTCAGCCGCCCTTTCCTCGACTCTTAAGGGTCGTTTGTTTCGGGAATGAGGACTGGAGACTAGAAATTTCTTTGAAGAGTTTTCAAAACGGGTGTATTTTCATCCACGTGCAGTGAAGGGGGAAAAGAAAATACAACTCATCAATATAATCCCCTCATTAGGTGAGGAAAAGATGCCTTAAATTTAACCCAAGCCAGAGCTGAAAATTAGTTTAGGATGGTTGACTTAGCTCCTAGGAAAGAGGAGGGCTGCAGGGCAGAAATCTGTTGGGAAATGACCAGGAAGGTTACAGTTTGGTGCCAAGGAAAGTGTGTGTGGGGGGGCGGGGGGGGCGGTTCTCGAACAAGCATCACTTAATGCCATTGAAAAATTGCCAAAGTTCAGTTCAGTTCCTTTCAACCAATGTGGTGACGCTGAAACTGCTTGTTCATATAAGCTCACATCAGCTCATACCCACTGTCTGGCTTATTGTCTAGATTTTTTTAGTGATAATCAACTTCAGGATTTAGAGGCTTGTAAGGACTTTTCGGCTGGGTGATGTTGTAGCTGCATCTATGCCGAAGGGGCCGGGAGGTATCCGTACCAGCGAGCCAATTGGGAACGTGGAATTTGGAGTGGGACAGACCTGGGATTTGACCTTGCAACACGCTAGCTCTGTGACCTTGAAGAAATTTCTTCACCTCTCTGATCCTCACTTTTCGTATCCATAAAATGAGAACAATAATTTCTACTTCATATAAGGCTATTATGAAGATTAAATGAGATAATATACATAAAGACTCCATACATTTTCTGGCCCATAGGAGCACTTAATACATGTCAATTATTAAAAAAAAAAAAAATCATATTGACTCCATTTTGGGTAATAGAATTGCTACATCAGGAGGTCAGTAGGGTGCTTGTGCCATGTACATGCCTATTAACTAACACATAGAAAGCACTTAGTAACGCTTTGTGGAGTGAGTTGAATAAATAAATGTAAGCTATCTGGTTTTATGATTGCTTGAACCACTGTGTCAAAAGGATATTCATCAGATGATGATAACTGTCTGCAGTGGCCTTGTCTGCACCTACATTTTTGTTTATGTCTTGAAAGAGAATTATGTATATGCTGATCAAATTTGCTAGTAGCCTGAATTTGGGTTGAGTAGCTCATATACTGGACTTGGAAAGACCTTGACAGCTTAAATTATTCTCTATCTAATGCCATGCAGAATGTTTTTTCTAAAAAAGAAAAGAAAAGAAAAAATACAAATTTATTGTAGGAAATTTGGAAAGTAGATTTAAAAAAACAAAACAAAACCCACCCATGATTGTCATACTCAGAGATAACTCTGGGTAACATTGTGGTATATATTCTTCTGGAAAACAAGCAGAACAAAATTGGGGTCAAACTATACATGATATTTTCTAACCAAACAGGAGACATTTACTAGATGGTGTTGTAGCATTGTTGTTAGGAACCCAGGGCATGGAACTAGTGTCTGGGCAAAGCCTTGATCCCTCAGTGATCCTGCGGCAGATTACCTCACTTCTCTCTCTCTCTGTGTTCTCATCTTAAAATGGGATGATGCCAGTACCCTATGGATAGATGACATCATTCCTGTAAGTATTTAGCATACTCCCTGGTGTACAGTAACTACTGAATATGTTTATTAATATCAAAGACATGGCATGCAGGCTGGTAGGGCGGGATGGACCCTAGAAGTCACCTGCCATAATCCCCTCATTATGCAGGTGGGGGAGCAGACTCAGGCACTTGCTTATTTTTAGAAGATCCAGACGTGTCCCTGCTCTTCTCTGCTCCGGTGCCACCTCATGAAGCATTCCTGTATCTCTGCCTCCCCTCCCCTCGCTGTGGGCCATGGTAGTCTTACTTCACGTTTTGTGCCCAAGTAACCCTTTGTCTGTACCTCTTCTGTAGTACAAATACAGGATTAGATTTGTGATTTTACACTTTGGTCTCTTCCGCTAGTCTGTGACTTCCTCAAGGGCTTGTCTAACCTTTGTATCTTCAGAACCAAAAGCTACTTGACGGTGGTCAGTTTTTTAAATGAATGTGTTGTGGATGCTGGTGGGGTGCGGGGGAACTAACAAATAGAATAGATCCAGATCACGGAAAAGGATAATTCCATCACGTGTTATTCATTAATCTTACAGTTATTTATTGAGCGCTTACTTTGTGCCAGACGTGGTCCTGTGCAGGGGATTCAGTGCAAGCCTGGCACAGGCTTGTCCATTTCTTCTAATCTAATGGGGAAGACAGACATCACACAATGAATTACGTGCTATATTTATTATTTTACTGAGTGCTGCAAAGGAGAATAAGGGTGCCATGAGAGACAAGAGCAGGCACCCTGGTTTGACAGGTGGAGAGAGGAGGTCAAGAAAGGCTCTTCTGAGGACACAGCAGGTAGCCCTAGATCTGAAGGATGAGTATGAGGGGAGGGCTGGGCACATGGGTGTAGGAGTAACATGTGCAAAGGCCCTGAGGAGAGAAGGAGCTTGGTACATTCTAGGAATTTAAGGAAGTCCAGGACGGCAGAGGGTAAAGCTGAGACTGGTGAGATGGGCAGAGGTTAGATTCTAAAGGGCTTTGTAGCTCTCATTACACATTTTCAATTTTAGCCGAGCAGTGGAAAGCCTGCCTGATACTGTGCTTAATTCGGAACACTTGCCTTTTAGAGAGAAGTTGACGTGGGAATAAAGAGTGACCGGGATGGTAAGGGTTCTAAAGTTTGTGTCCTGTTTGGGATAGTTAGTCCAAAGGAGGAGGAAAACGAGGAGTTCTGTGATGAATGAAGGAATGTTACATACAAGAGTTGCTGCAGAAAGCAAACTGCAGACTAGTAGATGGATCTTCTGGGAGACAGGTCTTGCCTGAATGTCAGAAACAGCTTCCCAGCCCCTAGAACTTGGTTGGGGACAGAATGGGCTGCCTCATGGGATGGAGGACAGTAGGAGGAGGTGCAGGCAGGAGCTGCAGGGCCACCTGTCAGGGGGTCTGGTGATGGGAAGTCCACACATGCGTTGGGGGGAGAGGCCTTTGGGCCTTTTTGTGCTCCAAGAGCCTGTGAGTCTGTAAACCAGGTAAGATCTGCGCATTTCATTCCGACCTGAAACTTGACTCCATCTCTTTTTAGTCTGAAAATTTGGGACTTCGTAAAAATAAATTTGTAAAATTCGTAAAACGAAGCCGGTCAGTACCTACTTCGTTAATACTAAATATTAATACTAAATATTTGAAGTTGTATGTATCGAATTACTTAGCTATAGCAGCCCTTAGGGTTGCCAGGAACAAAGAACTATTGTTATTGCTAGGTTAGTCAAAAGCCGACAGTTGGGCTTCCCTGGTGGCGCAGTGGTTGAGAGTCCGCCTGCCGATGCAAGGAACACGGGTTCGTGCCCCGGTCCGGGAGGATCCCACGTGCCGCGGAGCAGCTGGGCGCGTGAGCCATGGCCACTGAGCCTGCGCGTCCGGAGCCTGTGCTCCGCAACGGGAGAGGCCGCAACAGTGAGAGGCCTGCGTACCGCAAAAAAAAAAAAGCTGACAGTCATGGCTAAAGCATGCTGATGTGTATACAGAAGTCATGATTTCAAGCCAAGAGGAAAATAACATTCCAAGAGAAACCAGAACTCCAGAATAACAATTCCTAGCTACTCACAGGATGTTTTTATATTCATGTATAATGTATATTGGAAGAGAAGGCCAAGGAAAACAGAGGAATTGGATGAACTTCTCCTATAGGGGAAGTTTGGACGTCATACATTTAACAACATTCATGTTATGGAAATGAGAAGCAACAGGCGAGAAAATGTCTCGTGTTGTAGCCTGTACTCGGCGATCAGACAGGGAATGGAAAGGCGAGGAGAGTTGGAAGTAATTGTGATAGAGGTGATGGATGGAGCTGAATTCTCATTTGGAATGGAAACTGGGAGGAGGAATCGTCTCCCAGCTATCTGAATCTGGGGGAGCAGCTTGAGGGCAGAGAATGACAGCGATCCAGTCGCTCTGGGGTAGAGCGGTAATGAAGGTTTCTGCTTCCTGGGCGTAAGCTGGGATGCAGCTTATATAGTCACCGATGGGCTTTGTTGGTGGCAAGAGAAAAGATTCATTTCCCCTCTTTCTCGTTCTTGTCGTGTACATGGATTCCTAGAGATTTGGATTGACATAGCTTGCACACTTCACAAGGTGGGTCCTCTCCTCACTGCAAACAGACTCCATTCGTTAAAATTCAGCCTGAAAAATGTTTCTCCCTTCTTGATTATCTTGGTGGAGTTGAAGGTTAAGATGATTGGCGAGGTCTAGTAGATGGATCAGCTGAGGTTTATGGGGTTTTTTTTTTCCTTTTTTGGGAAAAAAAAAAGGTTGAGTCAAAGAATCTGATTGCAGACCCTGAACTGTTGCTTGACATATGGGGCGTAATGATCTCTGCAGGGAGAGATGCAATTCTGTGGGCAGTCAGGCTTCACTCTGAGGTCTGTTTTCATGGACTAATGCATCTCTTGTCACTCTTGCCTTTTGGGAATGATGCAGCAAGCAGCAGCCACCAAAAGAAAATACCAAGCATCCAGTGAGGCTCCCCTAGCGAAACGGAGGAGTGAAACGTCATTTCTCCCGGCCAAGAAAACTGCTGCTAAAGAAACTCCAAGGGCTTTTAAGGGGAAGGCACAGAAAACGTTTTCTCCCAAGAGGTCTTCAGCTGGTGCGAGTGATGGAAACCAGGAACGGAAACCGGGCATTAAGACTTCATCCCTGTTTAAAAACAACCCTGAGATTCCAGAACTCCACAGGTATGTCCACATGTAGACACCCTTCGAGAATAAAAGGAATTAAGTGTCTTCTGCCTTTTTCTTTGTTTTTTGGAACTGACGCCCGCGTCTTGTTCGTCATTTGCAGACCTGTAGTAAAGCAGGTGCAAGAAAAAGTGTTCACTTCAGATGCTTTTCAAGCCCTGGACCTCCACCCACATCTAGTAAGTATCCCTCCATGTTTTATTGGTGTGTCGATTTTTTCAGTCTGTTCATTCAGAATGTCTGTGAAATGACAGTTCTAGGAAGAAAAAAAATCAAAGAATGGTTATGTTTGCATCAAGTTACCTGGATGAACTCAGATTGCTAAGATGCTCTTCCAGGACCATTCACGTGAACTTAGGAGTCTGTTCATGGTCCGCACCCCACTCCCCCTCTTTTTTTAAAGAACTCTAAAGACTTTCCTCACCTCATTCACTTTAGGGCTGAGACTCCATATATCGAACTTGAAATCCACCTCATAATTACTGGATAGATAACGACATCAGGGCTATTCTGGGTGGCTGATGTCATAGGGACCCTAGGAGAGGGAACTGAACCGGCATCTTGCTGTTAAGGGAGTTATAAAGAATTGAAGGAAGAAGGGGCTCTTTAAACATGCATTTGCTACAAACAAGTGGACACTCAAAAAAAAACAACAACCATGAATGAGTGTTCCAGCCTTATTTATGAGTAAGGTGAGAAACATACATTCACTTTTAGGGAGTCTGGATTTCCTTGGCTCATATGGTCACGGCTTACCTACTCCTTCTTTCGGGTGGGTTACCTATACTTGCTTTCTCACCTACACGTTGGTGTGGGGTTTCCCAGCCTTGGTACCGTGCACGTCTGGGGATGGGGACTCTGTGTCACGGGGGCTGCCCCGTGTGTTGCAGGATGTATGGCAGCATCCTGTGCCTCTACTCACTTAATGCCAGTAGCATCCCCACCCGCAGTTATAACAACCAACGATTTCTTCAGACATTGGGAGGTCTGGGGGAGGCAGTGCTCAGAACCACCCCCAGTTGAGAACCACTGGGTTAGAGGAACTTGATTTGATCGTGGTCACATCCATTTCTACCCCAGTATTTCCCCCTTTTTTGCATCCTTATTTGCATTAAATATATTTGTACCAAAAAATTTGTTAAAGAAAAGTTTTTGTTTTTGTTTTTTGTCTTTTCTCCTAGATTTCCACAATAAATACGGTCTTAAAAATGTCTAGTATGACCAGGTAAGAGCTCTGGGTCAGTCTTGATTTTCTCAGGGCTTAAGTGGGTATAAACAGATGAAATCTGAATTGTCTGTGAAGGACAGCAAACTTGTGTCTTGGCGTTAGAGAACAGGCCAGATTATTGACCCTTGAGGGCTGGGTAGCCGCTCAGCTTCCCCACCTGGGAGATGGAGGGACTGGGTCTCCGTCCCCTTCTGCCCTCAGCTCTAAACTGTAAGAGATCTCTGGTCCAGAAGATGGTCTGCATAAGATCCCACTGTTGTCTGTGCTTCCTGAAAATAACTTGTCTAGAATACAGAATTTATCTTGTCATTTCTTAGTAGTAAGAATTAGAGTCAGCTACAAGATAGGAGTAAATACTTAGTTGGATATAATGGGATGCTGAAAAAAGTTTTTAAATGTTAGTGACAAGTCCTGGAAAACAGAAATGGAGTGGTGACAGGTGTGGGGCAGAGATGAGTATGTATGCTTCTGTACATTTTAATAAGTCACCTTTCACTTAGAAGTAAACATTAATAAGTATCAAAGAATAAAATAAGGAACCCCTTTATTATTTTTTTTGTTCAGTTTTATCAACCAAATGTGATTTCCATACCCTTTTGGATTTTTTATTTTATTTTATTGAAGTGTAGCTGATTTACAATGTTGTGTTAATTTCTGCTGCACAGCAGAGTGATACAGTTATACACATATATTCTTTTTCATATTCTTTTCCATTGTGGTTTATCATGGGATATCGAATATAGTTCCCTGTGCTGTACAGTAGGACTTTGCTGTTTTAGTTGTTTGTTTTTGAATACACACGTGGACACACATCTTACTGTGTCCGTAGCAGTCCTATTTGGTTTTCTAGAGAACGGACAGCAGTTCCTGGCTGTCTGTGTGGCTCACAAGTTTCCTTTCACTCTTCTGCTTGGGAATCTTTCCATAATGTTTTATTGTTTCATATTCCCTGGTTCAGAAGGCAGGAGAGTGTGTGGTGTGCTTTTGTGGTGGCTCCAGCTTGTCATCACACCTGTCCCATTTTTCTTTTTAAGTAGTCTAATAGAACGGCCAGTCTCCGGCTTGCCTCAACATTTGCAGCCCCAAAAGTTCCAAAAATCTAACTGAGGTTTTATTCTTCTAACCATCAGAGGTTTCTCAGCCCTTTCCATGACTGTTCAGGTAACCTCTGAGGCGGCAGGTGATAGAGCCTGGGGTCATTGCATTTTGTGTATCTTGCATCTCTGCGTGTAAACATGGGCAGGTGGTACTTTATAGATAATCATGTGCTCTTTCTTTTGGGCGGCCCAAGCGTTCAGAAGCAAAGTATCCCTGTGTTGCTGGAAGGCAGAGATGCTCTCGTGAGATCCCAGACTGGCTCAGGTCAGTTGTCATTTGATTTCTGCCCTTCCTCCACAGTCGTGTGGTGGGTTGTGTAGTGAGGTGTCTGTCGTGGTGGCGGCTGCTCTGTTTGGTTTGGGGGAGGGGTGGCCACGCTTGCTTCTGATTAGAGCCCTGAAAGGAAGGGGATGATCAATGGGGCCCGTGATCAGGAATGATCAGGAAGGAGTCAAGTCTGCTGTCATTTCTCAGAGCCCATCTCAGGGCTTTGCCTGGTCCCACCACCTATGACCAGAGCTGCCTGTCTTCACGCCAGTGGGTGATGACTATTTCCTTCTGGTATTAAAGCAGCCTTGCTGTGAGCACACGGGTGCTAGTTGTTTTGCTAGAACACGGAACACCATTCTGGCGCATTCCAGAACAGTCTGGACTTGCTCTTCTGACCCTGTTGTGCTCTTAGTGGCAGGTCAGCTATTCTCTGCTCCCCCAGCTCAGCCAGGTAGGTGGAAGCCCAAAGTTTTTGCCATCCTTGGTTTCTCCTTGATCTTTAGAGGCCAGCTCTGGGGTTTCAGACTGGCTGGCTTCTCACCACGGAAGACACTTACTTGACCACGGAAGTCCCTTTGAGAGGTTGAGGTGACCCCAGAGAGGGAGTTTTCTAGTTTCTAGGGGCAGTCTGTGTGACCTCGGAAATGTATCATTGTCTCCCTTGTTAGACGTTAAAGGAGCTGAAGGTGCAGGTTTCTTAGAAGTACTGAATTTACAAAGCAGAGCTAGGAGTTGTGACAGACAGGTGACTTCCGTTTCCACCTGGATGTGAGTGTACTTTTCCTGTCCCCAGACTTCAGGACAGCCCAGAGGTAGCAGTGCCGGTTCGTTTACTGTCTTTGGTTTTCTGACATCCACAGGCTCTGTGATTTTGATTGCTCTTGTACTTTTTTAAAAGGTAAAACTCTTGCCTATTGCATCCCTGTGGTCCAGTCTCTTCAAGCAATGAAATCCAAAATACAGGTGAGTAGAAAGTGTGTTTTTATGGGACTTCCCTGCCGGTCCAGTGGTGAGGACACGGCGCTTTCACTGCCGGGGCCGGGGTTCAGTCCTTGGTCGGGGAACTAAGATCCGCAAGCTGCGTGGTGTGGCCAAAAAAAAGAAAAAAATAGAAAAGAAAGTATGTTTTCCTGTTATTGTTCACAGTGCATAAGAACTCATCAAACTGACCCAGAGCAGTAATATTGGGACCAAAAGAATCTTTTCAGTTAGCTTTGTTTTCCTGCCTCTTTTTAGTTCATTTATTACATAAGCATGTTGCATCTGAAGACCGTGCTCAGAGTGGAATAGAATAAATATAAACAAATGTAACAGTCATCCTAGTAGTTCTAATAGGGAATGTTTGTAAGATGCTCCCCCTGTGTCAGACATCGTGCCGGATGCTTTGCTTGTGTTGTCTTCTTGACTCTCTGACTACCCCAGTCGCACTGAGTTGGAAGGTACTACTATTACCTCGATTTAAAAAAAAAAAAAAAGGAGGCTTGAGGAAGTTAACTTCCTAAGGCCGTGCGGGGAGTGATTGTGGAGCTGGGTTTCCATCTGCATTCTCTTTGGCTTCAGAGGCCAAGCTCTTCTGACTGAGAAAGGTGAACATTGTATTGAAAACAGTGGTTTGTCATGAATAGTAGAAGTGAAAATAAGTACCCAATTAGTGGGTGTGACGGTTGGGCCGCCTTGTATTTAGTATTTCCTAGGATTTATCTTTAGTTGCGAAACACACTTAGCACCTGGGCCAGAGGGGCCAGAACTGGGTTCCTTGGAATGGTCCCCTAGGAGGCCGTGTGACTGCCATGTTCTGTAGGCATAGGTGTCATCTCAAAACCCAGCCCAGAATCTCACAAATACACCCTGGTTATTCTCAGTTGAGAGGAAACTGAGATCAGAAATAGGAAGAGAGATGGGTTCACAAACAGATGACGAGCTAGTTGGTTACTTTTTCCTCAGTTGGGACATGCAGAATTACATGTGTATTGAGCCTGCCTGTTATTTGAATGACAAAGTAAATAACGATGGTGTTGGATTACAGCCCACAGTCTAAAACAAATACCTATTGAGTCCAAGCTGATATAAATGAATTATTGAATAAATAGGTGGGACGAGGGAAATCCCTTCCTTATACTAGAATTCCAGTGAGTACTTGTAGGACATCATCATTTGGCAAATGACACAGGAATCATCAGAGATGCTAAAATGAGTGGATTAAAGTGTGATGAAAATGGGATATTTACACAGTCTCAAAGTATGTATCCGGAAGATACAGGAAAAAAATGGTAACTTTACAGTGGGGAAGCCTGGCTGATGCCACCTTAGCCAGGTGGTTGGATGGGGCCTCACCAGTGCCGGGATGTGTTGGCCTAGTGTGTCTCCCGATAGGTGCATGAAGGATGAAACAATACTCCTCTGGTTTTCTTGCCAGAAACGCACAACTGTAATTTAATCCTAGACATCAGACAAAGCCAGATCTAAGCACATCCTACAGAGTGACCGGCCAGTACTCTTCAACAGTATTAAGGTCACAAAAGACAAAGAAATACTGAAGCGGTACCGCAGAGTAAAAGAGACGACGGAGTCATGACAACTAAATGCTGCGTGGCCCTGAATTGGGTCTTAGTCTGGAAAAAGCATGTTAATAGGTCAGTTAATGAACTTTGAATAAGGCCTATAAATTAACTGATAGCAGTGAATCAATGTTAATTTCCCGTTTGATCATTATACTGTGATTTTGAGAATCAGTGTCATACAAGGAAGCTGGGAGAAGGGTGTAAGGGAGTTCTTTGAACTATTTGTGCAGTTTTTCGTAAGCCTGAGATTATTTCAGAGTGAATACGTTTAAATGTTATTTAAACTATTTAAATGATTTTTAAATCAATAAATCCTACACAATCATCCAAATGGTGGAACCTCATATAGTTATTAAAAGTGCTGTTTTCTTCAATTACTATCTGTGAACTTGACAGGCATTCTTGCCATGTTAAAAAGGCCCGTTATAAAACAGTATGTATAATATGACTCCAATTTCATAACTAATAATTCTATATATACATACATATACGTGTACACAGACAGAGATGAGAAAGATACTTTTCACACTAAAGCCGGTTTTCTCTGAGGCGGGTGAGTGGGAATTTTGTTTCCTGCAGGTGACTGGTGTTTTCTTCCATTGGGCACTTTGCAGTGCAGTGGTTCACACAAGGGCCTTAGCATCGTACCCGGTGTAGGTTAGAGAAGAAATGTGAATTATTAGACCAGTGTGGTAAAGTCTCATCCGTTTAGATACTCCAGGAGAGCTTCTAGTGGAGGGTTTTTTCTTCCTGGAAAGTTGCAGGGTTTGGGCGTGTATTTGATCTGGCGTGGGTCCTACAGTTCTGGCCCAGCTGTCTCATTTGCTGGATCCGTGAACGGAGGACAGGAGACATGCGACTACATTCCTCAGGTGGACAGCATGGCGGGGGCTCTGCTCAGATCCTGGGTCTGAGTGTGACGTTAGCACATCACCTCATCCTAGTGTGCCTCGTGGGGGATCACGGCGGTGCCTGTGTCCTGGGGTTGCCGGGAGGATTCAGGGAGTCAGCGCACAGGGAGAGTTGAGACCTGCTTCCAAGCGCCTGGTGGTGATAATACCTGCTCCCTAAGTCTCCACCGTCATTGTCAGCAACAGGGACGTGTGGCTGGTTTGAAGGGCAGTGTTCTGAATTGCTTAGATTCAGAGCATTAACCAACCATGTCGTTGTTCTTATTTACTCGTGTTTTTTAATATCAATAACAGCTTGTTCTATTAAAGATTGGAATATTCTGTAGAGACAATTTAACAAGCCCAAATTTAATTCACTTATTTCAGGTGATGCTCAGTACAGGCCCTTGGAGTTCATTGTAAACAGATTTGACTTGTAAAAAAAACCTATCTGGAGGGAGCAGCAAATTCAAGGCACCAGCAGAGTCTTCAGTTACTTTAGATGACGGAATGAAAACGGACTGCTTTTCTGTGTTTTCACACTTTCAGCTCTTTGGGCTCTGATTTTCTTTAACATCCCATCCATCCTTCCTCGCTCACTTCTGCCCTGCGAGGAATTGATTGGTCTTTCTTCTCTGTGTAGTAACACCTTTTGAAATGTCAGAATCTCTAACACTGCTGTGTTGATACCGTTGTACTAACATGTTTACTGAGCCTCGCCCGGCTTCAGCGCAGTCTTGCAAAGTCGATGTTGAGTACAGACGGCTGTAGTTTGAATTCCAAATCCTTTTCTCCTTGTAGGTAAACGTTTCCTATGCAAAATATGAAAACCATACTTGTAATTTAGTTTGCTGCTAAATCTGTGCTTAGCTTTTACACTAACGTATTCGATTCATTCCCTAAGTGTCTGTGAGCACTTTGGAGATGCAAGGCACCGCTGACTTCCTGGCCCTTGTCAGATTACTTTGTTTTCTTCTATTATTGTTACTGTTACTTGTAGGTATAATGTACATGTTAAAAAAATTTGAAGAGCACCAAAAAATATACAGTGACAAGTAAGTCATTCTACTGCCCCTTGCCCTGAGTGGCACAGTTCTTCTCTCAGGATGGGATGGTCCTTATCACCAGTCTCTTGTTTAATCCTTCCAAGGATATTCTTTGCATGTAAAGCAAATCTGACTATGCATATTTCCCCTCCCCCTTTCGTTGAAGTTTTTGTTTGTTTGATACACAAATAGTTGCTTGCTATGCATGATTGTCTGTGCCTTGCTTTTGTTCACTTAATATGTTTTGGGGATGGTTTCTTATCAATACCGTGTTGACCCGCCTTGTTTTTTTAATGGCTGCCTAGTCTTCCACTGTAAGTATGTACCATAAATTATTGTCATTCCCTCATTGGTGGAATTTACATTGTGTTCAACATTTTGCTACAAACAAAGCAATTAAACAACTTCTTTATACACATGTGTGAGTCTCTCTTTTTGAGAAATTCCTGTAAGTGGAATTTGCATTTTTATTTGGTAGATAATACCAAAATTGATCTTTAAAGGAGTTACACCAATTTGGATTCCCACCAACAGTGTATAAGAGTTCCTGCATGCCTGTGCCTTTATCAACACTATCGGCTGTTTTATTTTTGCTCATTTGACAGGGGAAACATATTGTATCATAGTTTTGATTTGAATTTCTCTTAGGAGTAAAGTTGAACATCTTTTCATACATGTAAAAGCCATATTTTGAATTCTTATTTCCATAAATTAGCTGTTATATCCCTCTCCATTTTTCTATTTGAGTTGTTGGTCTTCTTTATTTTTATTTTTAATTGAATTACAAACCTTCTTTATAAACTAAGAAATTGGCCCTTTCTCTTATGTGTGGCATATTTTTTTTCCCCACGTTGTCATTTGACTAATTTTCTTTAGGTATTACTTTTCCATTCTGAAATTTAAAAATTTTTATGTAATAAAATTTGTCAGAGTTTTATAGTTTCTGAGTTTTATGTCATCTGTAAAAAGGCCAACTTAATTCCAACTTAATTTTTCTAACTTAATTTTTTTTCTAAAAGGGCATTTGAATTATCCATCTTTTCACTGCTGATATAAATTGCCTCTTATCATATTTCCTGACTTTCTATATGTGTTTGATTCTATTCTAGGCTGTATTTGTTATTGTAATCTCTATGTGCTAGCATCGATTTTTTAAAACTACTGTAGATTTAAATTGTCTTATCATCTGATGTTGTTCAGAAATGTCTTGATTATTCTTGCACATTTACTTTTCCATATGAACTTTGAAATCAGCTTGTCTGGTTATATATATTATTTTTTATGTGCATATGTATGTATACTTGTGGCATGTTTTAGATATTTTATATATGCATGTTCATGGCATTTTTATTAGAATTACATAACATTTATGGATTGATTTAGGGGGAATTAGCTTATTTATAATATTAAGTCTTCTTATCCAAGAATAGGATACACTGTTCCATTTATTCAAATTTTATTTTATGCGCCTTAGAGGTATTTAAAATTTTTTATTGTATAGATTTTGTACATTTTTTGTGAAGCTTATTTTTTTTAACCTTTTTTGTTTTTTTGCTATTCTGTGATTCCATCTAACTTTCTGTGTTGGAAGGCTGTTGATTTTTCTGTATTAATTTTGTATTCAGCTAGTTGACTTGTCTTTTTTGTGGTAGATTTTCAAGTGATTTCTTTTTTTTAAATTTATTTATTTATTTTTGTCTGCATTGGGTCTTTGTTGCTACACACAGGCTTTCTCTAGTTGTGGTGAGCGGGGGCTACTCTTCGTCACGGTGCGTGGGCTTCTCACTGCGGTGGCTTCTCTTGTTGCGGAGCACGGGCTGTAGGCACGCGGGCTCAGTAGTTGTGGCACGTGGGCTCAGTAGTTGTGGCTCACGGGCTCTAGAGAGCAGGCTCAGTAGTTGTGGCACATGGGCTTAGTTGCTCCGCGGCATGTGGGATCTTCCTGGACCAGGGATCAAACCCGTGTCCCCTGCATTGGCAGGCGGATTCTTAATCACTGCACCACCAGGGAAGTCCTCAAGTCCCGATTTCTTAAGTTGTTTTTGTTTTCGTTGGTTTTTGTTTTTTTTTTTAAGAATAAAATATCATCTGCTAATAATGGCAACTTTACTTCCTACTTTCCAGATTTATACATATTTCTCTGTCTTTTCTGATTGCGTGGGCCAGAACTTCTAGATGAATGTCGTGTAATCACGAGGGTAGTGGGCAGGCTTATCTCTTTAAAGAACTGCTCCTGATATTTACAAGTGGCCACCCTTAACCCCCCCTTCTGGACCTCTGTGACCTGCGCTTATTCAACTAATGGCATTTCTTTCCTCCTGTGTCAACAGCGTGGTGATGGCCCCTATGCTCTGATACTAGTGCCAACAAGAGAGGTAAGCAGTCCCACTTTCGGAGTGCTAAGCAAGTACTTTCAGTGATATTCCTGAATTTAAAAGTGGTTTTACCATTTTTCTCCCTGCTGCACAAATCACTACACCGTTTCCTTTGCCCAGGAATCATCCTTCTGGTTCCTGACAAGAAGAAAAATTCAAGTACTCTTTGAAAACCAGAAGTTTTTTTGCTTTTGGAAAAGTGTTCCTCTGTTATCTAAAAACTAATGACACTTTAAATTTCTGTCCTTATAAAAGGAATTAAAATAATCACATTTCTGTATGTTGTTTTTTTCTTTTACAACTTAATTAAAAAATAAAAGCAGTTGACCCTACAAATGAACTTTTATTTTTTTATGAAGCTACTGTACCAAAAATTTTACCTGTTTCTGAAAGTTAAACTTCTTGATGTTTTTCTTCTTTCTTGGTGGAAATCTCTTCTATCCGATTTATTTTATTTGCCTTCAGAGGCAATTTCAGATTAGGGTATCTGTTTCCTATATCAAATGCTAATCACTTCCTTGCAGAGAATCGATCATGACAAAGGGGGTTTCTGTACAGCCTGCAGCATCCTGTCTCAGCTCCATCCGTTGAAGGAGCAGGCACTGCAGCATCCTGTCTCAGCTCCATCCATTGAAGGAGCAGGCACAGGGCTATTTAAATTTTTACAGCAGCAAACTTGCTACTTCCCTGGGATGCTTCCTGAATACAAAACGTGTGGAAACTGTATATATATATATCCTTGGATAAAGGGATTATGTAGAGGCTTTGTTGATGGTTGTTAATGGTTATAAACTATTCGATACATTAATTTTCTCTTTCTCTGGTTTCCACTGGGCTTGTTGGTTTTTTCTGTTTTTCTCCCTTTAATAAACTTGGGAAATGACCATCTCTGTCTTTAGCTACTGCTCTGCCCCAGCATAGCCTTAGGATATAGTCATGTCACCTGTAAAGTAACATTCCCAAGGCTAGCCTGTTGCGTCACTGTGTGGTTTACCCCTTCACACATATTACATTCTCTCTCTTTCCAAACAGGTTGACTCTGTTTCATTTTCTTCCATCTTTGTGTACCATAGACTGTACTTTTCTGTGTGGTACTCTGGGAATTTGAGCCAGCAGAGGGAGCACAGAACACTATGTTTGTGTATGTCCAAGAAATAGATGTGATGTCTCTAGCCACATTCTCCAGACTGACAGTTTTCAGAATCAGTCTAAGAACAAGGTGTATTTCCCAAGTAGATTCTGTGTATAGGGCTTTTTTTTTAAAATCCTAACTTGAGGTCCAAGGTTGGATCCTTATCACTTTACACTGTCTGAATTTTTAAAAATAAATAAAAAGGTAAGAAGGGACCTTGCTCATTAACTCTAACGTTTTAACATTTACAGCTGGCCCTACAAAGCTTTGATACTGTCCAGAAACTGCTTAAGGTAAGGCAAGCCATGAGTTCAGTTTTGTCTTTTTTTTCCTGACTTTTTGAGGAAAGAGAAAGATACCGGTCTTTTCTTTATTTTCAAAGAGCTAGGAATTACTGCAGTTTTCCTTGTATTCCCTTGATGTCTCTGCTCACCCCACATACAGTTTGTAGGTTTTTATTGATCTGAACCTTACGAATCACCAATTTCTAGCTTAGTGAGATTATTAGTGTTCACTGGTACTTCGGGTCCTGTGATCTGTTCATCATAGTCACTAGCAAGCCACCTGCAGAGACTCACAGGTACAACCTTAAGGTGATCCAGTGAAAGCAACTTAACAAGCTGTAAGTAGGGTTTGTTTAAGAAAGAAGAGAGAGCATCCAAGCCAAAGGCTGCCAGCCCACCGAATTAGATTGAGAATTGATCTCTCCTTTCTTTTATCACGAGTGGGAGTAAGGAAGCATTGTGCTTGGGTTTGATCTTAACCAAAAAGGAAAAAAAAAAGGCAATAGACTTACCGAATTGTGTTTTCAATTCAGGCTATACAGGGAAAGGCAGAGAAGCTACTTGAATCACTTAAAAAGCCCACATTTCTCTCTTACAGTGTCGGAAGCTAGTCGCATAGGTATAATTTAAGTTACCGCTAATATCCACGGGCATGGCAAGGCCTAGGAATTGTGTCTGCACAGTAATACCTCCTGCAATGAAAAGCCGAGTCCTCCCTCACGACTTCCTTAAGGAAAGGGAATTTGGAATCAGCCTCCGCGGTAAATGGGGCTTTGCATTGATTTTGGTCTGATGTCTTTCTGTAGCCATTTACCTGGATTGTGCCTGGAGTGTTAATGGGAGGAGAGAAGAGAAAATCAGAAAAAGCCAGGTAGGGGGAGGTTTGTTTATTGTTAATTCCTTGTAAAGTCTGTTCTGTCTTCCTCTTCAGTAAGACTGTGGCCCTTCTCAGCCTGGGGAGAGCCCTGTCTCAGATGAGGGTTCCTAGTCCCAGCGTGTGGGGACAGATTGAGTCCCCAGGGAGCCGTGCTATTTTTAAAAAATATTTGGTGAAACTACCAGGGGCTCCCTTTTGATGTGGTCAGTAACAGCTCGTTACCTTCCCAAATCTCAACCCTCTCCCGGCCCCTGAGACCCACGGTCCCCCCTTGTTAAGGATACATCCCCCTTGACTCCCTTTTGTGGCTATTGGCAGTTTGGGGTTTTTGTTGTTTGATTTTACAGAAACAAGATTATAAACCTACATAATGCTTTGCATCTCGCTTCCTACACCCAAATGCATTGATTCCTAATTCTGTGTTAGAATTGGTAATGGGTATCAGTAGAAAATTGTTGCAAGAAGTAAATTCCAAATGTTGTGCATTCTTTTAAAAACGTTTTTATTTTATTGTAGCTTAATGCTTATTAGTTATGCTCAACTATGTGTGTAGTCTGTAACTGAGGAGCAAATATTCAACTTGAAACCTTCAGGTATTGGTTAGGGTAAGATTCCGCTGTAACTAACAACAGCAGTGGCGCAAACAGTATGGAAGCTTTTTTCTTTTTCTTTCACATTTAAGAAGCGTTGACGGTAGCCATTGGGGCTGGCATGGTGCGTGCGCCAGCGTGAGGACCCTGGCTCATTCTGGCTTTTTGTGCCACTGAGTGAAGCTTCCATTTTCAGGCTTTCCTTGTAGTGTTAGATAGTTGTTGGAGCTCCAGCCATTATATCTGATTTCCTGCCAGTAGGAACAAAGATAATCATACCTCCTCTTTTTAAAGGTACTGGTGGGATTTTTATGCTCCCTTTATCCGTTTATCTTATTGCCGTAGCATAGGCACGTGCCCACTTAATTACAAGGGCAGCTGGAAAATGTACTCAGCTAAAAGTTGTAGGCTTTTATTACTATGGACTAATGGGATGAAGGATGGTTGTGGAGTAAGAAGTTAGATTTATTCCACCTGGTCCATGGGGCAAGGCTAGGCCTATCGCATGGAAGTTACAACAAGGATCCAGTATAAGAAAAAAGCATCCTAACCATTAAAGCACGTTGGCATGGGATAATGCATTCAGGTGGGAGGTTCCCCAGCACAGATACCTTCAAGAACAGATTAGGTGACCATCTATCTGGAATATTCTAGGAAGCATCTATGGATCAGATAAAGGGCATTGGGTTATATAGTAAAGATTCCTCTGAGACAATTTTAATAGGATTTCAGATCTTAACAGTTATGTTTTGTAAGACAGAGAAACTTCAGAGAAAAATTAGAACTTAAATATATCTTTGTATCCACTTGTCATTACGTTTGTCATGATTTCAAGCTGTGGCATGTTGGCGCTGGCCATGAATCTGTCTCCTCCTCAGCCTTTTCCCTGTGTTTTCTATTGCTATGGGTCCATCTGATTTACTTTCTTTTATGGTATATAATTTTAAACAGACTCCGGAAGGGAATAAATATCCTCATCGCAACTCCCGGACGCCTCGTGGATCATATTAAATCCACAAAGAACATTCATTTTTGTCGGCTCCGGTGGCTGATTTTGGATGAAGCAGACAGGTGAGCCCTTCCAGGAAGCAGGAAAGGGCTGTTTCTGTGGTCTTTGCCGAAACTTCTGGAGCCCCTTAGTGTTCCCTTTATTCACGTAGATTAAAACTCCTCCCTTGAAACCACAGAATCCTGGATTTGGGTTTTGAAAAGGACATCACAGTGATACTCAACGCTATAAATGCCGAGTGCCAGGAACGACAGAACGTCTTGCTATCGGCAACACTCACGGAAGGTGAGTTGAGAGGAAGTGCTGTCTGTCCTCAATGGAGAGGAAGGGCCTAGATGCGAGCTGCGTTGTTTCCCAGCAGCGATTCTTAGCCTCGGTGGGGAGCGGGCGAGGAGGAAGGTGTCCGAGAGGACTGCTCTTCAAACCATGTGTCCTGTGCTCCCGGCCTCCCGCTCCCATCATCCTGACTCCCTGGTCCCCAGCACGTGGGGAAAGGGAGAAGGGGCAGGTCCCAGGCCCAGAGCCCTCACAGGAAGGGGAGGCTGCTGTGCTCCTGTCAGGGTATGGAGGGAGGGGAGGACGCTGCCTGCCACCCACCTGGTGGTCTCGTGAGGTTGTGATCGCGATTGCTACCCGCTGAGAGCAGGGCTCTTGTCCTGAAGGTGGTAACCTCTATCCCAGCTCATGTTTTGGTGTAATCACCCTGCCTTTCTCCTAAAGAGAAATCTATCCTAAAGAATATATTCTGTAAGCTCATTTCTGTCTTTCCATCATCGTTAAGATGGAATTTCTTAGCTCTCTTTTGTTGATGGGAACACCTAGGCTTGGAAGAGTTGTATCACTCTCCACCAGGACCCCCCGCATGTGACTCCCTCTCTGAGCGACAATTCAGCTCTCATGTTCTTTTGTCACTTTACTCGGTTTACTAGCCTGCTCTGGTGCACACGTACCAGATGCCATCCATGTGACTCACCAGCAGTTCTCAGAATGTATCCTAACTAACAGTGACTTTAAGAGAGAATCCATGGGACTTCCCTGGTGGTCTAGTGGTTAAGAATCCTCCTTGCAATGCAGGGGACGTGAGTTTGATCCCTGGTCGGGGAACCAAGATCCCACATGCTGCGGGGAAGCTAAGCCCGCATGCCTCAACTACTGAGCCCAGGTGCCTCAACTAGAGAGCCTGTGCGTGCCCGCAAACTCCAGAGCCCACATGCTGTGGAGCCCAAGTGCCACAGCTATGGAGTCTGCACGCCACAACTAGAGAGCCCACGTGCTGCAGCTAAGACCCGACACGGCCCAAAATAAAATAAATAAAATAAATAAATATTAAAAAAAGAGAGAGATAATCCATGGAAAGGGGATTCTGTGCTAAAAAAGTTGGGGAAATGCCACTCCTTACCTCCCTCTCTTGGAGATTCATGTGCACATTTATACAATAAAGGTCCTGAGAAGGCCTGTAAACCCGGGAAACCCTGGGAAAGAATCCCGGGAAAGCTTTTTATCAGGGTTTTCATAACTTACTTGACCACAGAACCCTTTCTGGGGGGTGGTGGGCAGACATCTGTTTCAGTGGTCTTCCACGGGTCAGAGTTTAGAAACTCCGGTGGTGTGGATGGGTTTTTGAGCCCTGGGAAGAAATAGGTGGGTCCCCACTGGACTGACAGTGGGGCCAATCAGTTTGGCATTTGGAGACACACCCATCAGGAGCTTCTCAATAGGCCTGGATGTGTGATGTGGGGGCTGTGCGGGTGTGACCAGTCCTACAGCGTGTGCCTGTCAGTTGTTTTGTCCTTTTCACGTTTTCTCCAAGGTGTAACTTGGCTAGCTGATATCAGTTTACATGACCCAGTCAGTATTTCTGTCCTGGATGAAAGCCATGACCAGTCGAACCCAGAGAGCAAAGGCATTCATGAAGCTTCTCCACAAGCTGGCGATGAGCTGGACAGCTTTGCCATACCAGCGAGTCTCGAGCAGTACGTGACAGTGGTTCCCAGCAAACTGAGGCTTGTCTCCCTAGCGGGCTTCGTCCTGCAGAAATGCAAGGTAGGTCTGGGGACTGGGTCCAGCCTGATCCGGGGAAAGACCACAGTTTTGTTCATGTCGGGCATTGAGGCAGTGAGCTGAGACACACACAGGTTTCCAAACTGAGCTGTGGTGCAAGCGCAGACCTTAGCAGAGATCTTCTCAGTCAGTGGTTCTAGGATTGCGGTGAAGACTCAGAGGTCCCTGGTGGCCATTATGTTCAACTTAAGATCTGCCTCAAATACCTTTCCTGGGACTGATACTGGCAATGTCGCAGGTGGTACACACACGCTGGACATGAGGCAATACAGTAGCCTGTGCTCGTGTTCTTGAAAGAATCATCGTGTTTGTATATTTACTAGATTCACGTGATAACTTTCTCTGGTATATGGGGAGATCGTAGGTGGAAGGGCTTGAGGGTGCAGCTTCAAGACTGCGTGTGCAGAGTCCCCGCCGGGGAGCGCCGTGCATGGCGGGACCGAGTGAGGGAGAGGGTCACAGCTAAGGGCAACTTTGCTCTGAAGCATGATTGTTTTTCTCAGATGCAAGAGGCCTGTTCGAGGTTGCAGCCGTGTCATTTTCCTGTCCTACATTCTTTGTAGTGTGGAGGATCTGTGTTATTTTTAAAAATAATTCAAAGCCATCTGTCGCCTCTGTTTCCAGATCGGGGCTAGCCTGCCCGTGTGTTTTAGAAAGAGATTCATTTCAAGTGTCACCTGATCTTAAAAACACGTGGTGGTTTTTCCCCCTTTGTATCGATGTAGTTTGAGAGAGACCAGAAGTTGATCATCTTTTTCTCGAGTTGCGAGCTGGTGGACTTCCACTACAACCTCTTCCTCCAGACCCTGCTGAGCGGCTCAGGGGCCCTGGCCCCAGGTGGGTTGCCATGTGCCTCCACGCGGTTAAAATTCCTGCGGCTGCACGGCGACCTGGAGCAGGAGGTGAGCCTGTCCTCCTGGGTTGGCCCTGGCTTCCCTAGGGACCCCGCTGGGCCAGGGAAAAACGTGGCTAAAGTGGGCGACCCACCAGAGGCCAAAGCGGGCGACGCAGCTGTGTCAGTGGGGCGAGGGGGAGCCTATTGTTCCCGTTTGCTTTGCTCCGGGAGCTGGTCTCTTCCACCCGAGAGAGCTCGCGGGCCCAGCTTGGCCTGACTGTATCCCAACCAGCTGTTAAGGCAACAGAGTACCACTAAGTAGCTGGCACCAGGGAAGGGTTTTGCCTTTTTAGTACCCAGTGTGTAATTAGGGCTTGATGTCTTCAAATTAAGAGCATTAATGGAGCTAAATTGTGGCTCCCATATGGTACTGCTGAGCGTGACTGCTGTCATTGTCAACAAGATGCAGCGCTTTCACTCAGAACACTTGGGTTGGGAGAGGACACTGGGTTCCAGAGGGGCTGCAGGGGCTCAGTGCTGGCGAATATTTTTGATCAGGAAGAGGAGTGGAACATTGTCCTCATCTTAGGTACTTAGCTGCGTTCACTCTCGTTCCACTACTGGTAGGCAGGCCATCCATTTAGGGAGTCGAGCGGGGTGTAGAATGAGATGAACTCTCTGGAATTGTGGCAGGAAGGGCAAGCAGGGCTTGGAAACGGGAACCACCTTGTCCTAGAGCAGCGGTTACCAGGCAGCTTAGAAAATTAGAAAGCTTGAAAGAAAGCCAGAAATTGGAATAAGGTTTGACTAGAACCACCTTTTAAAAATCAGGACATTTTTAGAGCTAAAGGAGACCTTAAAGGTCATCAAGTCCAGCCCCTCTTTTCGTTTTTGCTTTTTTTTGTTTTAATAATTAAGGAAACGGAGGTTTAGAAAAGTGAAGTTGCTCAAGGTTACTCAAGGACACAGCTTCTTTTTTTTAATACAAATTTATTTTATTTATTTATTTTTGGCTGCGTTGGGTCTTCGTTGCTGCGCGCGGGCTTTCTCTAGTTGCGGCGAGCGGGGACTACTCTTCCTTGCGGTGCGCGGGCTTCTCATCGCGGTGGCATCTCTTGTTGCGGAGCACGGGCTCTAAGGCGTGCGGGCCTCAGTAGTTGTGGCTCACAGGCTCTAGAGCGCAGGCTCAGTAGTTGTGGCGCACGGGCTTAGTTGCTCTGCAGCATGTGGGGTCTTCCCGGACCAGGTCTCGAACCTGTGTCCCCTGCATTGGGAGGTGGATTCTCAGCCACTGCGCCACCAGGGAAGCCCACAGCTTCTTACTTAACACAAGACTATACAGAATTTCCTGAATATTCCAGCTTTAGTTCTGTAAACTCTTAATTTTTACCTTGAGGATCCCCAATTCAATCAAGTTTGTTGATTTCATAATATAATGCCATTTATGGGTTTGTTTGTTTTTTTACCTGATTTTATCAATATTCTAGGTCTGTTTTCTGTAGAGCCATCATGCAGGGTAGGTGTGAGGATGATGAAGGAACTGGATGTGGACTCAGAAGGATCTAGGGGTTTGAATGTGTCAACAGAATATTCTGCAGTTAGGTTATTTCAGACTGTGAATCTCTCATTGTAACAGGGTGGTATCTGGGTAGGGTGTTTACAGCCATGTGCTCTGGGGGCAAACTGCTTGTGCTCTGGTGCTGACTCTGCCATTCACTGGCTGTGTGACCTCAGGAAAGCATTTAACCTCTCTGTGCCTCAGTGTCCATGCCTCTGAGGTGGAGAGAACAGTAATACGTACTTCTTGGAGTTGTGATGATTCACTGAGTTAATGCAGATCAAGTACTCAGTACGTGGCCTGGTGCAGAGTGAGCGCTGGGTAAACGTCAGGTGCCATTATGCTGTTACTTCTCTTTCAGGAAAAGTGTAGTTTTTTCATCGTTTCATAATTGTTAGTAGTTTACTTGTCTTGTTGATTAAGTGTTTAGCCTTCACACCCTCCCTGTGAGATGGGTAGAAGGTGGCAGGGAGGATCTCTGTATTTCGTTTTCTAAATATTGGTGCAGTGTCTTGTCCCAGGGGACTAAGCTAAAACCGTCCCCGTCACGTCTTCCTGGCTTGTTGCCCTGCCCCCTGCTCCACCTGACCTTAGTGTGACCCTAGCCCAGTATGAGAGCATCGGAGCGGAGCCACTGTTTAAAGAAGTTGCTGCGTGGTAGCCGTGATGGATGCTCAGGACTTTGCTAGCTGTGTTCCTAACCCCAGATCTGAGTACAGTGTGTCTGGACTTTTAAGACTAGTTTCACAGGCTTTTAGGCACTGTCCTGATTTTTTTCTGATTTTGACTCTACAGTGCAGCCATAAATTCCCTGGGTTCAGAACTCAGTTCAGTCCTGTATTAACAGTGTATGCATGTGCCTTGGGCAAGTCACTTATTAACCTCTCTGTGCCTCGGTTTCTTCCTCTGCAAGTGAGGGTGGTGACAGTACCTGCTCACTGGGTTGCTTTGAGGGTCGGATGCGTTCAGACATGTAAAGTGCAGGCCAGCATCTGGTACCTGGTACACAACCTACGTGACGGTTGTCGTGTCCACTGTGCTCAGTGAGGTGCAGCCTGGGGTCCAGTCACGTGATGGAACGTGTACCCGCGAAAGGCCAGAATGAGGTATACCTTGGTGTCAGAGCGGAAAGGGAGACTTCACTTCTTTCTTTTTTCCAAATCTTCAGTGATTTGGGTATATTTCCTTTCTGTTGTTGCTGCCAGATGGACATGGCCAAGTCTTAACTGCTGGCAACACTGTGACTTAAACACACCCCCAGTGTGGCCCCTACAAGTTCACGCCCAAGGCCTTTTGGTCCAGCAAGTCTGCCTTTAGGAGTTTACCCCAAGGGAATAGATAAGCATGAGCACAGTGACTTACCTACAGACCTGTTTATCGCAGCGTTGTCTGTGATGGTAAGCAGTGCAGACAACCTCAGCTGTGTCAGGAGTGGGGCACTGGTCACGTGGAGGCAGGGCTCCCATTCAGCTGTATACGGTGTAGTCACGGGAGATGAGGCGGTTTGGGGCTATTTATTGGCATGAAAAGATGTCCACATTCGGTTGATATATGATAAGAGCATGTTAGGAGTGTTAGAACCATGATGCCAGTTTTTTAAAAGCCACATATTTGGTTATGTTTCGTCTAGAAAGGGACTCAGGAAGCTTCAAGGTGTTGCCAGCGGTGGTGGTTTGTTTTGAGTGGTAGGATGATTTAATTTCCTTCCTTTGACTTGAAGTATAATTTTTCTATAGTTAAAATACACGGCTTTCATAATTTGAAAATCTTTTTAAAAATCAGTTTTTAAGAAAATTGCCCCATAGGAAAGGTTGGTTGTTGTTCAGCCTCTAGACCACCTGTAGAAAAGGTGTTAGAGTAAATTCTGAGTTGGGAACCCTGAGTGCAGGAACTTGTGGCCTTTGGCCCTCCTTGCTCTGGGTGTTGGCGTTTCTGGAGGGCGTGGCCCCCTCCCCCCTAACCCCGCGTTGTCTTAATGAAACGTGCTGCCCTCAAAGCTTGTTACTCTGCCGCAGTCCAAGAAGCCTGGTCGTGT